CCCTGATTTTCCCCGGCCGCCAGTGCCTCCACTTCAGAAGCTCCGGTTGTTGGAGTGGAGGTGGGTCATCTCGTGAGAACCACCTCAGTTGGTCCTGTCGGTCCCATTCATTCTCCAGCGGGGAAAAGTTCTTGCTCGGCTTGCCATCCGCAGTCGCCATGAGGAGGAACCATAGGCTATCCCATAGGTCGGCCAGGTCCGTCGCGGACAGAGGCTGGGGAAGCCTGCCCGCCGCCGACGCCACCAGGCCGTTGAAGTAGTCCGTCGGAACCACTTGGTCGTCTTGCTCCACCGGAATGCCCGAGAGTTCCAGGAGCTGGGCAAAACGGGCTACCGGCTCCCCGCCCAGCTTTCTCCCCTCCTCCTCTGTGCCATGGCGCAGGCACATCAGGACCAACAGCTCCCCGTCCGTCTGTCTCGGGGAGAAGGACTCATCCGCCAAAGTGTCCCATAGGACCCTTGGAATGCGGTCCCAAAAACGTGTGTAAGGCGGGCGCAAAAGAAACTTGGTAGAAACCCTAGCCATGATGAAAAGGGGGGTTCGAGCCTCCTATCGAACGGCCGGGACTCAACCGCGGCACAATGCATGCATGCTCCAAACGTGCAGAATGCCAAGTGATGGAGCAGGCAGGCCACACGCAACCCGACAGGACCAAAAGTCCCCCCCCCGAAATCCCCAAAAGCACGAAGGGGGGGAAACCAACCAGGCGGGGGATCCCCCAAAACCCCAAAGGGGACCTCAGGGAAACCAAGAGTCAGCCGCAGCCACTTTTTCCGAGTCGTGGCTGATATGGCCCGTCCTTGGGGCAGCCACTGCATGTGGCCTCCAGATCGAGGCAATCCGGCTGTCGTGGCGTGTTGAACAGGGGGGAAACAATGGTAAAAGAAGACCCCAAAAGGAGACACCCTTACTCCTCCTCCCCCCCGAGACGGGGCCAAAGGCACCCAAGTCCCGGCGGGAAGAGATCACACGACTCCACATCCAAAAGGGCTGTGAGACACGACCTAGCGGCTCTCACCCTTCAAGATCGCCTCCTTTGCCACCGCATGGATGGCCGCCAGCCCCGACTTCTCCGGGTTGCTCAAAATGACCATCCATCCCCAGGCCATTCGAGGAGCTGAAGTGCATGCGGGGGGTGCTCGTGTTGCCCAGGACCAGCCGCTCGTCCCTGGGAGGCTCCGTCGGCTCCACCCTCTTGTAGAACTCCATCCTGTCGCGGATCCACTGGTTGTAGAGCTGCTCCGGGGGCTCGTCCATCCAGCTGCAAGCAAGTGGCCTTGTCTTTGTGCCACCCCGTGATCTGGAGAAGCCTGGTCCCCGCGCGGCTCGCCCTCCAGAAGCCCTTGCAAAATCTGCACATGTAGCCCCCGGTGGTCTTGAACTTCTCCTTGCCCACCACTTCCCAGGCGCTGATGCTGGGCAAGACCAAGCCACACTCCACGGAGGCCCAGAACACGTGCTTTGTCTCCTTGGGGAAGTGCTTGTTGATGTACTTCCGGCCCGCGACCGCTGTGACCGTGGCCGTGGTGATGGGAGGGTACCGCCTGGTGCCCTGGTCTGGTGTGCGGAGCGTGGTGTCTGCCCCCCCCAGAACCTTGGCCTTGGGGTCCGCCTCCTTGGCCGCTCCTCCCGGGGCCAGAGGCACCCAAGGGGGGGGAGCAACCCAGCTGCCTCATGAGGTCCTGGGAGTAACCCAACCTGTCGTACAAGGCCCCCGCCGCCTCCTGTGGGACCGGCTCCACCCAGTCGTGGACCACGTTGCAGCGCCAGTTGACTTTCACCTCCACCATCGAAGACTTGCTTAGGCCCGCCACCAACTTGGTGTAGACCGAGTCAAAAGCCTTCAGCGATGACAGCGGAAGGGTGATCCGCTCGTCGCAGACCGCCCTGGAACGAAGCGCCTCCTTGCTGTCGTGGACGGGGGCCACTGGGATCTCCATCACCGGCAACGGGCAGTTGACGATGAAATTCTTGGCCGCCAGAAACGTCCCCATCTCCTTGAAGATGTAGCTCCATTCCGCCTTGCTGCGCGGCTTGGGGATGCCCAGGCTCTCCAGGAAGGGCACCGCCTCCTTCCTCATCTGGAGGATGTTGCCCATCCACTTGTCCGAGGTCGAGCCCTCCGCATTGCGGCCCCGGCGTTGCGTCTTCACGATCAACGGGAACGTGGTCCAAGCCGAGTAGATGTACTTGAAAGTGAACCTGTGGGCGTACACCCCCGTCAGGCTCGGCAGGTCCCACGTTCTCGTCTGCCTGGTCCAGAACACCCCATCACCTTTCGCCCAGAAGATCCCCACCACCTGTTCCGGCGCCTGGCGCTCGCCCCGGTTCACCTGCGCTCGGATCTCCAAGGCCGTGTAGATGACTGGGTCGATGTGGTCCCGCTCGCACGTGAGTGGGTGAGTCATGCGCTCCAGGGCCATGAGCTCCTCCGGCGTGAGCTTGAACTGCTGGTCCGCGCCCTTGGGGATTTCGCCGCTGGTGTGCTTCTTCCAGATCCCCCCAAACATCCGGAGCTCTCCCTGGTGCCTCTTCATCGCCCAGAGGAGCAGGGACAGCTTGCCCTCCTCCGAGTCCAGGTCCGGCTGTGACGTTGGCTGGTCCCCCCCGGGGCCGGTGCCACCAGATCGGGCAGCAGTGCCTCCTGGTGACATGGATTCTGTGACTCTCTGAGCCTCCTGATGTAGGGGACATACTTCTCCTTCATTTCTCCTATGTGGGGGATGTCCTCGGGGTCGTCCAGCTCCAAGGGGCAGAATAGCCCCCTCTCCAGGGCCTGCCTGAGATCATCCGGCCGACACTTCCAAGGGCTTGAGAGTGTGGTTGAGCATCCATGCCTGGTTGGTGTCCTGAGTGCGCTTGTTCGCCGCCTGAGCCTCCTCAATGGAGCCCATCGCCTCCGCCAGTGCCTGGCTGGCGTCCACGCCCTTCCCCTCCAGGTACTGGTCGCGCAGCTTGGCCTTGAATCGCTCCAGGTTGACCTTCCTGAGGGCACGGGCTCCCTCATTAGCCACCTCCTCTGACGGCAGGGTCTGCAGCGGCGCCAGGATAGCCATCTCGTTGTCCAGCATCTCCTCCGTGACCAACTCCTTGTGCCTCCGCCTGGCCGAGGACTCCTCCGGGGTCGGTTCCCGATGCTTTGTCAAGGCCTTATGCAGCTCCTCCTTCTTCCGGATCGCCTGATCCACCTGGGGGTGGTAGAGCTGGAAGCTCTGCGCCTCCGCCTCCTTCAGGGACCGCTGCACTTTGACCTTGATCTCCTGGCGTTCCCGGACCTTCAACGCCTCGTCGTCCGCCTCCATGGACAGGATCTCCTGCCGGATGTCCACCCGCCTGTTGAGCGGGACCACGTCTGCCACGGTGATCTCCTCTGCCGTGTCCGTTTTAGGAGGAGCTCGCCCCAGGACCGTGCCGTCCACCAGGTTGCGGTCTGCCTGTGCCCGGGTACCACCGGGGCCAGCGGCACCCAGGCTTCCCCCTTCCCGCTGCTGGATCCAGGTCGGCTTGCCCTCCACGATGAGCAGGTTGTAGATGATGCCGTCCGCCTCATAGGTGGCCGAGGGAGCCTGGAAGGGGACAAATTCCTTGCCTGGGCAGACCCAGCATTGCTTGGCTGCCTCTGGCCACCCCGTGCCACATGCCTTGCACATGAACTTGTAGTCGGACTGGCATCGAGCCTGTGCATTCGCTGGGTGCCAATGCAGGCCTTGTTCCGCTGGAACTGCGAGGCCAGACCTCCTCCTGCCGGATCTGGATCTTCATCGGGACATAGGCCTCCAAAATACGAATCACCAGGTCCTCCATGAGATTCTTCCCGACAAACTTGTGGAACAGGGAGACCGCCTCCTCCACCGTGACGTCCCTCAACAACGTGGCCGCCGATGCCGGAAGGACCGGGAAGAGGTCTGGGAGGCCCACCAGCTTGAAGTAACCGGGTCGGCCCTCCACCGGCACCAAGGAGACCGGTTTGTTCACATGAGCCGTGGTCTTCTGGGAAGCCGCCACGAAACCCCTCAGCCTCTTCGTGGGTGGTGTTTGTGCCTCCTCCGGTGGAGTGGCCCGCTCCGTGACGTCCGCATCTTCCATGTCCTTGTCCTCCTCCTCGGCGGGGCCAGGGGCACCCAAGCCGGAAGTCGGTGTGGCAAACGCCACACGGAGACGCTCCAGTGCACTGGAGAGGTCCTTCATCACGTCAGTAGCCGAGGCCGACGGGGGGGCCTCGGGCTCGTCCAAAACCAGGCCTGCCGCCACTGCCGCCTCGCGTGTGCGAATTTCCTGGGCCTCCTGGCTGGCCATACCTCCTCCACGGTGAGCGTCTGGTCCTCAATCAGCTCAAAGGATGTGGCCGAGGTTGCCGAGGAAGCCATTGCTGGTTCGGGGTTAGTTCGAAAGTGTTCAAACTCAAATTTTTCACACAAATTGGGTTCAGAGAACCCAGGGCAAAGCTTGAGCCAAAATGGCAGGGGCCATTATGGTCAAGCATTTCAAACACAGTTCATGTTTCCACATGCGTTTCAACATTAACAAAGTAATGTTGGGGGTAATGTAAAATATTAATGTCGCTGTTTTCAGTATTCCCTTCTTCAGTGGACAAGACACATGTTTGAGTAAGGTAGAACAACACGCATGCAACAATAACTGTGAAACTAGGTAGACAAGGCAAAGTTGGTCATTCTCAACCTAGCATCGCTCGTGCTACCCCTGGTTTGCTGTTTGCTTCCCACACACCTGTCACAGCGACTCCCTATCTCCAATAGACAAATACAATGACATGTGAACGTTTGGTCTGTATTTGTCAAACAACTTACTCAAACACAACTATCATACGAAAGGACATCACGGTTTATTCGACTTCAACAGACTTCAAGCAAACTGAGTAGAACAGTGCCTCCCTCAACAAACGGATTATTTTTTCAACAAAACAACATGCCACCCCCCAACATTCCCCTCCCCCCCCACCCCCACCCCCCAACGTTTCTCCCCATACTTGGGTGCGCACGTTGGGCTGCAAGCCACGGTCGCGCGCTTGCAGCAGCAAGCCTAAGGCCTCCGGCGATTCGACAATGCTTGAACAGCTTCGGCATTCTGTTGGCCGTCATTTTCTGCTTTTGTTTCTCGTTGTTTGTTGTTTTCTTGTTTTGTTCTTTTCGACTGGACATTCTCAGACCTATTGAAAACTAAATGACCCTAGATGCCTTCCAACATATGGGGCCTAGGACGCTACACACATGATTGGCATTTGGTGCAAGCGATCCGAACCTGTTGATGGGAGCCCGTTTAGGGTCCCCGACAAGTGTTAGCCATAGCACATATCGGGATTTGTATAGGGTCGACATGGTTTCCACTGGCTACTTATGATCCAATGGGTGTGGCATGCCAAGAGGACTCTCATGTTCCATATCATGTTCCAATAAGTCGAGCAAGACCGACCTTGCCCCCGATGAACCAGGTCCTCGTTGATTCACAGGGAGGGTCCCTTCATCCACCGCGGCCAACATTCCAATCAACCAACAGAGTTTCATAACGGGATTCAAAAAGGAAACAGCAATCGTACTAAGGAGTCCCTATCGAAGCACCCTTTGATCATGGCAAGGTAATATGGGTGTGTCTCATAATAGGATCTCTCTGCAAGTCGGCAACCTTCCCCTACCCACAAATTATTGTGAAACACAAGCAAAGTCTGAGTACGCACTGGTTCCCCACAATTTTTAGCAATTGGAATCGTTGGGCTGGAAGACCCCCACACTGCTTATGCTGCGAGTGTTTTAGGCCGCCTCGTTGAAGGACAAACAAAGTGTTCAGCTCTTAGTCTTCTCTCCGCACATTATTTCCTTTGTACCAGCTGGCCAAACAAATGGTATGGTTGGAAGGAGCCGTTCAATTCGTTCCTGAGGGCCTAGTGCGCCCCAATGGACTTTGGCTACTCCATGCATCCATTTGCTTAAGTCCCCTGGAAAAAAATGAAAAACATACGTCCAGTAGTGAAATCGATTCCCTTTAGAATCTGGAGAAAATAAACAATATTCTTAAGCAAATGGAAGCATGGCCAAGCGCCAACTTGGGGGTTCACCATCGGCCAATTGGGGGAGCTTCCAGCTGTTACTCTGAGGGAGTGTACCGAACTTGTTCGTAAGCAGCGAACATGGGCCTCGATTCTCCTTTAAAGGGGTCCATTCAAGTGACGTCCACAAACTTAGCCTCTGGCTGTTTAAAGGGACCCCTCCCCCCCGAAAAGAACAAGACGAAGATTGAACAATTCTCATGCTAAAGACCCAAATTTGGGACTCCTGAAAGAAAAGAAGAAGAATGCTTATTTTGAGAACTCCTCGGAATGTTCATTTCAAATTGACGCAGCCTGGCACGCCCAAGGGGCCCTTTCCGTACATGAAACCTCTCAGCTGTGCTCAACGAGCTCGCCTGCTGCCAGTTCTGCTGCTGGCAGCAGGAGCCTCGCTGGCTTGAAAAACACCCTCACAACAGCTGACTGGGCTGCCCGTTTTTGGACCCCCCGCCAAAAGTTTAACTTTTAGTGGTTGAAATGGAAACAACCACAAACACTAAAAGGCTAAAAAGCTAAGGAACTGGATGGCTGGGAGCCAAGAACAGATCCAAGAAATCTCCAGGACATAATTCAGGAAATACCTACGAAACAGCCACGGGTCTGGGCTAACTTCCCGGAGAATTTCCTGGCTTGATGGTTGCTTCGAGGATTTTTTGTTGGTGCCCTTGGAGTGGGTCCACAGTGACGTCCTCAAACTGCCATTTCCAAATGGCGGTTTAAAGAAAACAGGAAATCAGTTTGAGGATGGCTTTTCGCGTGTAAGGGACAGGGTACTTGGACCCACGGAGAACCAGCATCCGAAAAAGGGACCAACGAAAAAATACCATCATACACTTAGGGAGAACTAATTCAATCTCCGACACATTACAGAAACACACTAAAGCAGTACCCAAAGACAAACCACAATATCACACTAATCCCAATCGCACTTCCCCATGTGACAAACAGGGGCGAAACACTGCTGAGTGAAACCTGTGATACCAGGGTCCCTTGGGTCAAGATTACCCGCGCTGACCCAATGGAGAAATGACTGAGCTAAAAACTTTGTGTGAGAACGTCGCAAGCTCCCGTGTCAACACCAAAGGCATAGAGTAATTATCTGGAACAGACCTCTTCTTTATCCCGGAAGTTTCTGGGAGAAGTCTCAGGCACTCCCAGCACCCAAAAACACGTGGAATTCTAGGAGTACCTTCCCCATTCTTTCCAGGAATCCTTCTTTCCATAAAAACATCCGAAACCCTGGGGAAACAGCGATCGGTTCTTGAAAAGAACGATGGTTGACAAGAATGGAAAAGAAAATCCACCCCTCAAAATGCTGGAAACCACCAATCAGTTAGACCTGACCTTGCCGATCTTTTATGAAAACATCCTAGGAAGGCGTCCCCCGGTGTTTTTTGCTTCGGGAACCCCTCCGCAAGTCCCCTGCGCCCCGCGATCAAAGCTTCCGGGCAGAAAGATCGACCGCGGCGAAAGCGAAAGCGCGCCCAAGATCCAATCTCTCGTGGACCGCGAAGCCACAGGTTGCAACCAAAGGGCCCAGCAACAAAACGGTGCATGACTAAAAAGGCCCGGCAAAAAGGTGTAGGACTAAAAAATGTATTCAATCATAAGTTGAAGATGTTGAATCCTAAGGTCGGACATTTTCAAGGCTTAAATTAGCTGCTGGCGCCATGACGAAACACAGTGTGGAACACTTGGCATGCATCAGCCAAAGTCCGTGCCGCGGGAAGTCCGATGAAAAAAAAACACAGCCCCACGCGGGATGAAAGCTGCCCTCGGATGACTCTCAGCTTGAGCAGCCAGCTGTCGAAGTTGAAGAGAATGTTCCGTAACGCATGCATTTAACATCATCCTTTTCCAACGCCTGGCTGCTGTAGCTTTGATGCGAATCCCCTTTTGAAAGATGTTCCTGCCCCCCAAAGTAAGCCGGACTTCAACCAAACCAAGCAAACTTTGTGAAGGTTTTGACAAGGCACGAACAACAGTTCAACATGCCCCAGGTAGGCTGTTTTGAGAAAGCCGGTTTGCAACGTCACCCACCCTCAGCATGGTACCCGACAAAGGGCCCTGCAAGGAAGGGTACTAAGATGCGAAAGGGACACCTTCAAAGACCTAAAATGGGGTTGAGGTAAACCGCCTTACAACCAAGCCAGGGCAGCCAGGGTAGAAATTTGGGGGTGCCCCTTTTTTAGAGACCCCCCTGGTGGCTTTCCTCTTGGTTTCCCTTTAAAACCACCAACGAAGGGTAAAAACAAACCCATTTAAGGTTCTCAGTTTCAGCAAAGACTTCACCCCGCTAAGGGTCCCGCTAATGGCAATGCCGAAGCTCTGCATGTCCTCAGATCAGCCAGACGTCCAGTGGCCAAAAAAAACAACAGGCGCCACTGAAGGCCTGAGAAAGACCAACATGAGCCCAACCGGTAGGACAATGGGTCCGTTGCTTCCTTCGCTAACCAAGGTCCTCCGGTAGAGAGCTCAGAATCACGGTCCCAACTTTTCTGCGGGTATCTATTGTGGGGCAACCCCAACCAACAACAGTGGGTGAGAGAAAAGGGCACCAATTGCTGGGGGACCCAGCTAACCGTTCATTTCGCTGGAGAACCCACCAAACCTTCAAAATATGTTTTCTGGGTACTGCGGAACACCTGCGCAGAGGTACCAACTGATAGAACCTGCTGTATTGCAAGCAGTTTGCCGCAAGAACCAAAACACCATACACACATAGATATGTACATATATATATATATATATATTGCAGGTGGAGAACAGCGAGAAAAAAAGAGAGAAAGGGAAGACCAGGGAAAATCACAACACAATAAAATTAATAAAACATATAATATAATATATTATTCCGCGTCCCGTGTTCCCCTCCCTCTCTAAAACACATTCCCGCACCGCACACACACACACACACGCATATACTGGGGAAGCTCAAGCTCGTAACTGGTCGCATTGCGAAGACGTTCAAATCATTAAAAGTTCCAATTCGCAAACTCAACGTACACCGCGTGTGCCAAGTGTGCCAAACATGGCGCGGATTTGGCAGGACCCAGCATCCCCCGACTTAGAGTTGTTTTGTTTTGAGGTTTTTGGCTTAGCCTCCCACCCCCCACCATCCCGAAACCACTACGCGGCCTGCACCCCGGCACTCCCGCAACCCGAGCAATCCAACCCTGAACCAACTTCAAACCAACCCTGAATCAATGAATACTTGAGAAGGAACCCAGAACCAACCCAAAAACCACGCCAAACCACCAAACCAACCCCAAACCCATCTGAAAGAAGAGAGAGCGAGAGAGACAGAGAGCAAGACAGAAAGAAAGGCGAGAGAGAGAGAGAGAGAGGGAGCGAAGAGAGAAGATAGAGCAAAAAGGAGCTTTGTGCTCCCCTACTGCGGATATCCAGAAAATGTCGCGACAATGCACACAACGCCTTTTCAACTTGAAAGTGGTGTTTTGCTTGTTGGTTCCTACTTTCTTCCTTTTTTTTCTCGGGGGGGGGGGGAATCAGGCAGGCAACAAGCAACCAAGGAAGTAAGCAAGCAAGCAAACAAGCGAACAGACACAAAGGAACAACAAACAAAGAAGCAGCTAAGGAAGAGGCACTCAGACAGACGAACAGGCAGACAGACAGAGAGGCCGGCAGACGAACAAACAAAGTCACAACCAAACAGCAAAACAAACAAACAACATCAAATGAATAATGAGAAAGATACAAAGCAACGACAAATAGCGAGTCCTACAAAGACACAAACAAACCAACAAATACAGGCACATACACACACAAACGAACAAACAAGACAAATGTAAATGAACGAGCACAGGCACGGACGAACAAAAATACAAGCACGGAACAAACAACCAACAAGCCAACAAACAAGAACACAAACAAACAAACAAACAAACAAACAAACAAACAAAACAAACAAACAAACAAACAAACAAACAAACAAGCAAGCAAGCAAGCAAGCAAACACACAAACTTTCAAGCAAACAAGAGAACAACAAACTGCATGCAAAAAACAGAAAGCACGCAAGCACGCAAACAAGCAAGCAAACAAGCAAGCAATCATAACCAACCAGCCAATCAAATCCACGGCAAGACAGGAATCCAACAAACAAAAGTGGCTTGCAATCGGTTTAGGCTAAAGCAAAGAGTCAAACCTGATGTGAACTTAGGAGCAATACAGCCGCAAATTCTCAAGAACCCGCGGGTGGCTTCCCTTGCGAAGGGACTCTTCTGATTAGCACTCCGGCTGAGACATCTGAAAACATCACATTGGTCATGGTGAATCTTAATTGCACCCCCAGCTGACGTTGGATTTTGGTGAGCAACCCTGAATTTCCAATGGGAATTTGGTGTCTCTGTGTGTGTGTGCCCGACTCACCTGCTTTGCACAAATCAGGGGAAACGGTGGTCTTTCTGAGCAAACTACTTCCTGGACCTTCAAACTACCCATGAAGAAGAGAATTCACCCCACACTTCTGGGACTGTAACCCATTTTACGGGAGTTGTGGAGGCTCAAGTTTATAAACAACTCACAAGTTGGGCATGGCAAATCCTTAAGCACCTCCCTGAGCTGGCCTTCTGGCAGTCGCCTTTGGAGGGAAGTTCCAAGGCCCCCCCGGCCTTGGAAAAAAAAAACGAAAGAATGAAGGGGCCGGCATGGGGCTTGTTGTGAAAACCCCACTACCAAACAAAAAGCACCAGGAAGCCAACACAGAAAGACTTATATTTGCTTTTAAGAAGCTGGCCAAACCTTTTACTCAATATTTTCCCCGACAGATTCGGCAAAATCATGAAAAAAGGTACCCTTAGGCCCTTTGTTGACTTTAAAGCAACGCACTCCTTTTACCAACGGAACACGCCCAGGTGGGGTTCACGTGCCCCTTGCTCTCCGAATAGCCGGCTCGATACCTTGCTGCATCTCCTTGAAGAGCGACAGAACCCTGCGACGCATTTCGACGTGACTTACTTGCGCCGAGGATCCCCCCAGCTGCCGGAGGTTCGGAAGGTTTCTTAAGTTCGAAGGGGCCGCCTGCGGTTGGCCCATTGCAGTGCCCCCCCTGTTTTTGGATGGTAGAAGATTCTCTGAAGGAAACCCAGGAGAGCCCAGAGGAAACCCAAAGGTAGATCTTCTGAAGGAAACCCAATGGACACCGAACCAAGTGTCTGTTTGATCATCGTTCGGCTTGCAACCCTGCCCTGGTTGGTCACAAAACGGAAGGGATGCTAACAGCAGGGATCCTTACAATATACACCTGAACATTGCCTTGTAAATGGTGATAATTATCCCTTTATTTTAGTGGAAAAAGCAATGTTTCAAATGGGCAACATGTATCTTTTAAGGAGCCCTGAACAACTTGAAGTGAAACGGCTCCCGGGCATTGACACGCTTCTCCCACAAGCCGGCAACCGCAATCATGTGGTCGCTTACGTCAATTTCCGGCTTGACACTCTGGGCTGCTCAAAATGGAGTGTTGGCCAATCCGTTTCTCCATAGTCCCTCGGGCAAGGATTGAGGATTACTTCACTTGCCCAAAGGACCTGGAAGTAAAAGGTTAGCTTCTTGGGACCTTTGCCAAAACGGGAAAACTCAAAGGTTCAAAGGTCGGCTTTGGGCATTTGAGTTGCCTTTGAACAGCCCAAACAAAACCGTTGTTTTTGAAAAAATGCCGCCCCTTGGGACAGTGGTCTGCAAACTTCATTTTCAGGGCGCAACTAAGGGGTTCAAGGTTGATCCGCGGGTACTGGGTGTTCTTGTTTCCCCCGCTGATCCCGGTGTTACCTTATGTCAACTGCTTTGGGCAACCTTCAAACAAGTGTTTGACTTTAAAGGGGCAGGACCCCGTGTCCCGCGTCATGGGCCCCGGATCGTACACATGGGGATCGCTTCGTGACCCAACTTCAAAGGCCCGCAACGCCTTGTTGCATGGCCCACCCGGAATTGCTGGCCAAAGTGTCAAAGAGAGCATGGCGCGCCCTGAACTCAGCAAGGCTCATGACCTTTGCAAGTAGCCATCATCCACAAAGTCGCGTGGCACGCCAGGAGAATCCAAGAGCGACCATGCTGTCACGAGCACATTCGCCGGCCAGGACCGAGAGTGAGCATCCCTGGGCCAGGCCGATGCTGGATTGCCCTCAGATCCCCCGCTAAAAGTTTAACTTTTAGTGGTTTAAATAGAAACTACCACTAAACACTAAAAGGCTCAAAAGCTAGGGAACCGGATGGCTGGAAGCCACCAAGAATTGAATTGGCAAGGCCAGGTGAATCGCACCCTGCCAAGACACGAAGCTGAGCTCGTTTTGCCCTCAGCTCGCCAAGGCTGACCAATGACACGGAAAGGTGCTGCAAGGAACCCTCAAGCTTTACCTTCAGCCTTCCGCCAACCCCCAACGCCTCATCTCACCTGAGCTCAAAGTGGCCGTACACGACGAAGTCCAAACGCCGCCGGTCGCTAGTCGCAACTCTCGGGGCGGTCGTGTGAGCCAGCCACTGCTGCGTCACGACGCGCGACGCGCACCGCCTGCTCAAGCACGACCGCCAGCCTCGCGAGGAGACCTGCCCGCGCGCATGCAGCGTGATGGTCCCCGAAAGTGTCGACGGCCGCGCCACAGCCATGACCAGTGCTGTCGCCACACCGCCGGTACGTCAGCGGGAGCGGCAGCCGCAGCCGGCGCCGTAGTGCTAGCTGCATGCCTTCGGGGGTCAGGACTGCGCCGGGGTCGGTGGGCGTGGCGGAAAGCCCGGACTGCGCGCAGCAGAGCACTGTCTGCGGCGCGCAGGAGCGGCAAAACGTCGCGCTTTCGGTAAACAGAACGAAGGTAGAGAGCTGCGTGACGCTGCCAGCCTGGCTGCCTGCCAGCCCATCCGGGACAAGATCCTCAGCCTGCACGCACTGCGCGGCAAACTCGGGCCTGGCGGTCTTGGATAACGGAAGAGGGCACGCGGTCCAAAAGAAGTATACGTAGCTTCGAACAAAATGGATGCCAGTGCTAGCATCCGATGAAGGTCCCTTGGCACAAGGTAAATGCCCCCTTTGACCCTAGCCTACAAGAAAACCGGCCCACCCCGCTCTGTGCCTGTGGGAGTTCCAAACATTGTTTTCTTAATCGCGTAAGACGGAGGAGCTCCGCATGAATCTTTCCAGCTGGTGTCGCAGAAGTGGCCTTGCTTTGCCGAATAACACACCCCAAATTGCATAAGCCCTGGTTGATTGATGGGTCCTATTTTCAAAGGGATCCGTCATCTTTGTGCAGCCAGACATTATCTGACTCTCCAATCCCGACCGTCCTGTCAAATCTCCAACGAAATCTCCAACGCCTGTCGGAGTCTTCTTCGCAGGCTTTCATCACACTGCTGTAGAGGGCAGCATCCGCAGTGACTCAGCACGGGTCCACATACGGACACTCGACTGTCCAATGGCAAAACGACTTGGACTGTCTTGACTCATTTTCTCCGAATGATCTCATGCGTGATTGCACAAGGTGCACAAACATTTATCCATGCTATACTACAAAAAGCTTGCAGAGATAGAACACATTCAGACATGTCACATGTGACCGAGATTGCGCAAAGAGACTGCACACAGGGATTCCACAGAACAAATCCGCGCAAGATGTCACCTGGCGACTGCCAAAGAGATTGTACCCAGAGATTGGACAGGATGTCACAAAGAGTTGTCGCGCACAGCAAATCGGGAGAGTTGACGGACAAATGCCACAGAAAGATTGCGCTAGAACATGTCACCGAGAAATCTCACAACGAGATGCCTTCCAAAGAAAGGTCAAAAGAAGACTGCGCTCAGTTCAGCTTTTATGGGTCGTGCTGGAGTGACAACATTTCCCAAAACTGAGCAGCGATTGTGAAAGTAAATAACCGCCCGACGGCAAGCCGCCCAGCGCGCCGAACTGCTAATCCCTGATATCAGATGTTGGGGGAAGCGAAAGTAAACAAAATATCCCGCGCTTGAAGGCTTGCGGCCTCTCACTTTGGCAAAGGGGCCAAGGGTAAGAATCGTTGCGATTTTGATTTTCAGGCATGCCGGGCTTCGCGACATGCATTGCCTGCCAGCCTGTCCAAATTGAAAAGCAGAAACCCTCAGGGAAGCACGTGCCGGAGTTCGGCGATTCTGATGAAAGTTGATAGAGATAAACACCCAGCAAAACCAACACTTGCCAAATCCTGCAAGAACATGATGTTTTGAGGTTTGTCACGCAACGGTATCTCCTTACATTAACGCAGCAATGGCAAATCCCGGCTAAGCGATTCCACCCTGACATAAGGAAACAACTTGACATGCTGTGAAGATCAGCAAGTCGAGCACCTGCAACTTTAACATCCAAGCAATCAGCTTGAAGATCCAGCTGGTTTACATACCCATGTAGCTCCCCATGTACGGGGGTTCTTCAAGCCGGCAGCACCTCAGAGCTGGCCGTCCAAACGGGCAGCGGGACCATTAACCGCGGTTTAAGGGAGGCGAAAGATGTTTGAGGCCAACAGTCACTCTGCCCTAAGTAAAACCTTCTCCAGCACCCCCTCCCAATGCCGAGGAGGTCGTTTAACAGACCATTGGAGCTGCTTGGATCCTTCCTAAATCCGCCGACCCCTTTGCAAAAGCCAAGTTAGTCTCTGCAAAGGGGCGAGGCGTGTTCTAAGTGGTGGTTAGGGGAGTCTGAGGGGGGGAGGGGGGGCCCCGCGGCGGATCTTCCTAACCTCTAACCTCTACCTAACCTAACCCTCTACCCTAACCCTAACTAACCTAACCCTAACTTCTAACCTAACCCTAACCCTAACCCTACCTCTAACCTCTACCTCTAACCTCTAACCCTAACCTCTAACCCTAACCTCTAACCCTAACCTCTAACCCGAACCTCTAACCCTGATGATGACGAAGTCGATAATGATGATGATTGATGATGATGATGATGATGATGATGATGATGATGATGACGATGATGCTGATGATGATGATGATGATGCTGATGATGATGCCGATGATGATGATGATGATGATGATGATGATGATGATGATGATGATGCATGATGATGATGATGATGATGATGATGATGATGATGATTATACTGATGCTGAGGATGCCGAGGATGATGAGGATGTGGTGATGATGAAGATGATGATGATGGTGGTGATGATGGTGATCATGATGATGGTGATGATCATCATGATGCTGATGATGGATGATGATGATGATGATGATGATGATGATGATGATGATGGATGATAATGATGATAATGATGATGATGATGCACGATGATGATGATGATGGTGATGATGACGATGTTGATGATGGTGATGATGATGATGCTGATGATTATGATGATGGCTGCTGAGGATGATGACGATGATGAGGATGAGGATGGTGATGATGATGATGATGCCGATGATCATCACCACCATCATCATCATATTCATCATCATCATCATCATCATCATCATCATCATCATCATCATCCATCATCATCATCATCGTCATCATCATTATCATCATCATCATCAATCATCATCATCATCATCATCGTCATCATCATCATCATCGGCATCATCATCATAATCATCATCATCAGCATCATCATCCATCATCATCATCATTATCATCGGCCATCATCATCATCATCATCATCGTCATCATCATCATCATCATCCACCAGAGGTTAGGGTTAGAGGTGAGGGTTAGAGGTTAGGGTTAGAGGTTAAGGTTAGAGCATGATCATCATCATCATCATCAGCGTCATGATCATCATCATCATCATCATCATCATCATCATCCGTCATCAGCATCATCATGATCATCATCATCGTCGTCATCATCATCATCATGTCATCATTCATCATCCTTATCATCATCATCATCCTTATCATCATCATCATCATCCACATCATCCATCATCACCATCATCATTATCATCACCGCCATCATTTTCAGCAGCATCATCATCATCATCAGCATGAGTATCATCATCAACATCGTCATCATCACCATCATCATTATCATCGTGCATCATCATCATCATCAGCATCATCATCATCCTCATCATCCATCATCATCATCGGCATCGTTATCACCCTCATCATCATCGTCATCATCATCATCCATCAGCATCATCCATCATCATCATCATCATCATCGGCACGATCATCATCATCGTCGCCAGCATCATCATCATCATCATCAGCTTTATCACCATCATCGTCGTCGTCATCATCATCATCGTCCGCATCATCATCATCATCAATACAATCATCATCATCATCATCATCATGATCATCACCATTCATCATCATCATCATCATCATCATCCATCATCATCATCATCATCATCGCCGTCATCATCCTCATCATCATCCTCATCATCAGCATCATCATCATCATCGTCATCATCATCATCATCCTCATCATCCATCAGCATCATCATCATCAGCATCGCCATCATCGTCATCGTCATCATCATCATCATCATCCATCATCATCATCATCATCATCGGCATCATCATCATCATCATATCAGCATCATCATCATCATCATCATCATCATCATCAGCACCATCATCATCATCATCATCATCATCATCATCATCATCATCATCATCATCATCATTCATCCATCATCATCATCATCATCATCGTCATCGTCATCATGATCATCATCATCATCATCATCATCATCAATCATCATCATTATCGCCTTCGTCATCATCAGAGTTAGAGGTTAAGGTTAGAGGTTAGGGTTAGAGGTTAGGGTTAGAGGTTAGGGTTAGAGGTTAGGGTTAGAGGTTTAGAGGTTAGAGGTTAGGGTTAGAGGTTAGGGTTAGAGGTTAGGGTTAGAGGTTAGGGTTAGAGGTTAGGGTTAGAGGTTAGGGAGGTTAGGGTTAGAGGTTAGGGTTAGAGGTTAGGGTTAGAGGTTAGGGTTAGAGGTTAGGGTTAGAGGTTAGGGTTAGAGGTTAGGGTTAGAGGTTAGGGTTAGAGGTTAGAGGTCAGGGTTAGAGGTTAGGGTTAGAGGTTAGGGTTAGAGGTTAGGGTTAGAGGTTAGGGTTAGAGGTTAAGGTTAGAGGTTAGGTTAGAGCTTAAGGTTGGAGCCTCATCATCATCATCATCATCATCATCATCATCATCATCATCATCATCATCATCATCATCCATCATCATCAGCATCATGATGATCATCATCATCATCATGATCACCATCATCATCATGATCACCATGAGGATGATGATGATGATGACGATCATGATGATGCTGAGGATGATGACGATGACGATGATGATGGTGATGATCACGATGATGCTGGTGAGAATGATGATGATGATGATGGTGATGATGACGATGTTGATGATGATACTCATGCTGATAATGATGATGATGATGATGATATTGATGATGACGATGATGATGATCATAATGATGATGATGATGATGACGATGATGATGATGATGAATGGTGATGATGATGATGATGATGATGCTGATCATGATGATGATGATGAGGGGGATGATGCTGATCATGATGATGATGGATGATGATGGTGATGATCACGATGATGCTGGTGAGAATGATGATGATGATGATGATGTGATGGATGATGATGATGATGCTGATCATGATGATGATGATGATGATGATGATGGGGGGATGATGCTGATCATGATGATGATGATGGATGATGATGGTGATGATCACGATGGTGCTGGTGAGAATGATGATGATGATGATGGTGATGGATGATGATGATGATGATGATGATGATGATGATGATGATGATGATGATGATGATGATGATGATGATGATGATGGTCATGATGATGATGGGGATGATGCCGATGATGATGGTCATGATGGATGATGATGATGGATGATGATGATGATGATGATGATGATGATGATGATGATGTGATGCTGATGAATGATGATGCTGATGGTGATGATGCATGGTGAGGATGATGCTGATGAGGATGATGATGACACTGATGATGATGATGATGATGATGATGATGATGATGATGATGATGCTTTCGTTGCCTATCTTATCTGGACACTTGTTTTAATGTTGGGTGATCTTCATTCGGGTACTCTTTTCTTTGATCCAAGATTTCGAGGAGATCCAGTCCATCTTTTATTACACCTTAGAGTTACTTCTGTCTTCTTCTTTCTTCTCTTTTTGCGAATCTCGCCAATTGATAATAATAACCATCATCATAATGTTTACCTCGTACCTCGAATTCTTAAAACAACATTTAACACAACATCAACAATAAAAGCACATTGGGGGTCGGCGGCATCAGGCGTCAGCCTGCTTAATATGAAGCTTCTGAAGCGCGGATTCCAAGTGAGTTGTCAAAATTATGACATGCAGTGGATGGACGAAATCCATGTCGCACCACCCAAGAAACCCTGAAATCATTTGATTCCCCGGCAAATACCGAAACCAAACATGGTTTCAACGCATGGTTTAGAAGCAACTGTGTTTCGCTTTGCCTTCCATTGGACTCCTTTCAGTGGAATGAAAATGGAATGGCCTTGGATGGAGGAAGCTTTCTTAGCGGGGCTGCCCTCAGATTCCCCGCTAAAAGTTTAACTTTTGTGGTTTAAATGGAAGCTACCACTAAACGCTAGAAGGCTAAAAAGCTAAGGGCATGGCTGGGAGCCACCAAGTTAGGTGCTGCGAAATGGAATTTGTCCAAGGCGTCAAGATGAGGTTGGCACTTTCGTCTTTGGACTCCTCAAGGAGCTGCAGTGCACGCTCCCTCGGTGCGACGGTTCGACGATCTCTTCTTGGGTACAGCGCTGGGCTGTCCGTTTTCAGATCCCCGGAACTAAAAGTGACTAACTTGTGGGTTGAATCCGGAAACCCCTCAACAAACTGTAAAAACCTAGGAAAATGGTTGGAACCACCAAAATAAATTCAGCTGGGCCCTTGGATTTGAAGATGGGGAAACGGGGGTCTCTTTCTTTTTAGACTTGGTACCCCTTGTGGGTTGAAATAAACAACCACCAATTAGGTGAACAATTAGGTGGGCCCGCCCCCCCCAAAAAAAAAGACCCAAACCAACCATGATGTTTCCAGTTCAAGTCGAAGCTGTTCGGCTTTAAGAGAGCGGGAAACAGAACCTGGGACCTCTGCTGACATCCACATTTTAAGGTTCACGACTATTTTGGTTTGTGCGGGAATCCACAGATGTCAAGCTTGTTGGTTGAAACAAAGCTTAGGTAGACATCCTTGTGCGGAAACGTTGCTAGCTGGCCACCAAGGGACTTCAAGAGGGCACCAAGCTTTTTGTAGGGTTTACTTGTTGGGCGCAGAACGGGTAGCGGATAGGCCAATCCTATTTGATTCGGAAACCAACTGGAGGACAGTTTTTCGTAGACTAAGAGACTGCCTTTGAACAAAAGACTTCACAAACACCCGGCCGTGCCAATGCACCAACTCTGCTAAGGGGCCTTAACATTTTTCCACCAGACGGTCTAAAACTTGCTGCTGAGTAGGGACTGACCTTCCCGGGTTTTGGGGAATGAACTATGGTTTTCTGCGAAGTCATTCCAATTCCCATTCCCTGACTATCGAAGGCACAGAAGTTTTCAACGAAAATCTGGGCGCCGTTCAATGCCTGCTTGAAAAGGATAACAAAATCAAGGTCCCATTACGCCTGGGGTTCCTTGCCGATTCCCATCAAACGAATGGCCCAAGGGACCCAATTTGGATGATGAAAATCCCAAACGCTAGATAATGGTGGTTACAATTACCAGAACCCCAGGGCTACACAGTTGGGAACATCTGGTTACATGAGAAAATCATTTTCTCTTCTTGGAGCAAAAACATAAATTTGAGATGTCCCTCATGTCTTGGTCAAGAAGTAGCCAGGTCAGCCGTTCCAAAGAAGAAGCTGAGATTGGTAGACCCAACTTGCCGTGTGCTCGATATGTATGCAACTTGTTGACGTCTGTCATCTCAACTGTGAAAACTTCATCATACCCTTCCCACAACAAAACATGAGTATTTCTATATATACACGGGTGCTTCAAAATAGGGGTACCACCAAAAGGGTAGTTGTCCCGTTGGTTTTCCTCAAAACCCACCAAAAGGACTTCCCCTTAAAAAGACAACCCCTATACTATGTGATATGGCTGTGGCTCAAAAAAACGGTATTTAATAGTATTAACATGGAACCCTGGCAAGTGGAAACATGGACCAAAACTGCGTAACCCTAGCCGCCAAAGAAGACACCCACTGCACGCTTGGGGCCAAACCACTGGCGTCGCCGCCCGAAGGCTCGCGAAAGCGAGCCGTAGCCGAAGACACCAGGCCTCTGCTTCGCTTTGCCCAGTGGATGTCCATGGGGAAAAAGGCATCCGACTTTGGTTGCTTGACTTTAAAAGAACTGGCACCCTGCCCCCCCAAAAAAAGGCACCACTGGGGCCACAGGGAGCCCCGAACTTCATGTAACCCCTACTTGGCGGTTTAGCGTGGTGAAATTTGATCTCCTGGCTGTTGTGGGGCCATGGGAAACCACGCCCAATTCCTAAAACCAACTGGAGGGAAGCCGCAAACTGGAGTGTCGTTCTTCCGGTATCCCTTGAAACTAAACCCAATGGGTGACCTCAAAAGGAAGACCGCGCCCTTCACAACTCCCAAGTCGGCTGGCGGAAGGAGAAGAAGTGCACTTAGGTCTGTCTTAAAATCCGCCGATGCCAGTCGAGCGTGTAGATGGCAGTCCGCAACTTGGTCTTATCAAAGCCGAAGGCTTTTGGGGCTGCCAATTTTTGGGCATGGTGTGCTGGGTGTCCAAGCCCTGTAATTTTCCAGTGTTTTCGGGGCTTGCGTGCTAAAAACCTGCGTTTCGCCTAGGGGGGGCACGGGACGCGCAGGATCTGCATCTTGCTGCTATGAATTTGTGCAGACACTAATGGTGTTTTGCTGTTTCAAGCGATGTTGGAATCGGCCTGTTAGGGGTCTGGGTGGGGCCAAGTGCAGTGATACGTTGAGGAACTGGTTGAATTTGCAAAAATGAGTGTTTTTTGCAAGTCCCCACCTGTACGGAGCAGTTATTGCGAAACATCCCCTGCATTATCGTGTTTTTGGAAGTCTATTTCTAGGGTATTTGAGGGGGGTTGCTAGGACCGGCTTTTGATTGTTGATTTTGGGAAATCTCAAAAAATCATGGTTTTTTTTTAAACTTTTTGGTTGCCAGCTGGCTGCATTCCCAGCATTCCCGGCCTCTCTGGGATTTTCTGTGTTTGGTCAATTTTTCGCCCTTGCATTTCCAGCATTTTTGTGAGAAATGTCTGTAAACTGGCAAATTCAGATGATCTGGTGCCAACAAGCAAGACTTCCCTGAAAAAAGAAAAAATCTTAAAATCCCTTGCACCCCACTGGCGTCGGCGGATCGCGTAGCGATTTCAATAGGGGACCCCCTAAAACGTCCGATCTCATTTTGCTTTGCCTTTTGAACCCCAACAAGGGCGCCATGAAAAAACAAAGCCACTTGAACAACCCATATCCCTGGAGAAAAAGCCCGGTGACCTCCCACCACCTGCGCCGAACGATGGCAGAGCCTTTTGCGGGAAAAAATGATAATAGGAAGGCAAACACCTGCGTTGAACCATGGGGCGAGTTCTCGCTGCGAAAAAACGGTAGAGGAAAGCAACAGCCAGTGCTCCACTTGGGGCCTGGACTTGGAGCATGTCGTCTAAGTTTCCATTAGACCATCACTAGGTTGGCTGAGTACAAACTTTCTGCACTGGGCACCAGATATAAAATCTGACCAAAAAAAGAAAAACAACCTCTATATGGTCCATGCACGGTTGGTTTGCTTTGGGAAACCAAAAACAATTTGGAGTTGGTTGCTTAGCACCCGATGGCCCGATCGAGCTCAGCTTCTTGCTGCAAACCTCTGTCGCGCATCTCCTCGAAGGCTGCTAGCGCATGCCTGGACGCCGAGTGTGCGGCCGAAACTGAACTGGGCTATGATTTTGCGCGAGGTATGTTAAAAGCATGCGGGGTGCGCCCTTCGGGCACCCTTAAACAAACATGTTGCACATATCACTACCCAACGCAGAAAAGCAAGTTAATGTCTTGCTTAAAAGACCGGCCGTCAAGCCGAGACAGGCTCAGCCCTCGTACGGTAGGTTTTCGCGTTCTTATGATGGAAGATCTAGGGAAGGCCTGTCAAGATTATCTTCATCGTTAGCTACAGCAACGAAGCTGGCGAGATGAAGCCTGATGGAGCGGGAAACAGAATGGTTTTATAACACGGACAGCGGATGCGTCGAATGCCAGTGGTAATTAGCCCAGAACACGACACATCACTCGAATATTCGAGACACTGTTTCCGAAAGCGTGTCGAGATTACAGCTACAGGGCCCATTCCCCTAGTTCCACACACACAAACAACGTGGAGTTGTTCCGCAACACTGTGTGCATTTGTGTTGTTTTGTCGGCCACGGCTGGTTTGCGTAGTGCTACATGACTTTGCGAGGGCTCCGTGGCTGATTGTTTTAGGACTGCACAGAAGGTTGCACATACATACACAGTCGTATACACAGAACCCAACCACGAATAGACCCCCAAGAATGAATTTTGCTTAGTTTTTCAGCGGAAGCTTGTAACTCGCTATAGCTTGGAATTAACCTTCGGGGTTTGTCATGGTGATAGCGTCGGATGGGTTGAGTCAAGCAAAAAAAGGTTGGAGATGGGGTAAGAACTATTTGGGGGCAACAAACCCTTGGCTTCACTTTAGGTTATTTATTTATTTTCCCGGCCGGAAGGTTGCTTAGCTTTGTTCAGGGTCAATATCTTCTTTACAAGTGGGCGTTACTCGTTCGACTCTTGCTACTTTGTTACTTCTGGCCTGCTCCAACTAAAATATGCAACACGCCTACTGTTTTGAGTTCCAAAATGTTTGCTTGGGCATTTAAGCATATGTGCCTTGATGTGCCTTGATTCTGCTAACCCCCTTCCCTTCCCATGGGGTGCCGAGCAGAGCGTGGCTTGTGCCAATTTTGAAATGCATGCGCATGGTAAACGAAGGCTGGTCCCCACTGGCGTGGCTTCTCACCAAGATCATCTAAGATCGCTTCCGGGCTACAGTTGTGCGTCAAATCTGCAAACTTCCGGCAGCCCACCTTGATACAGTGGTCACCTTTGAGTAAGAAGGGTCTTTGTAAAACAATCAGCTAAAGGTGACCCCCACAAAGACATAGGCTCCTCACGCTAAATCAAGCCGATGGTCTGGGTACATAAACTTAATGGCCTGGGTCACCTTCGGGAATAGATGCAAATGCGAAACCAAAAGTTGCCTTTTTGAAGTAGCATTGCCAAGCCTGAAACCAGCACATAAACAATTCGCACATAGCATTGCCCCTTCCAAGAAGTCTTGCCCAAAAAACTTTTCCTCGAAACAGATCCTACTACACAACAATTTCAAGAGTAAATCACCAACCCAGAATCACAAGCCCAGTGCCCACCACAATATTCCCTCGCGTACCCCCAACAACGTGTGTGTGTGTGTGTTTTATAAGTGGCTTCCAAACTAACCCAAAACATCCGACCCAACATGCACAGTTCTTAACATTGCAAAAGCATAAGCTGGGCTGCCGGTTTGCGGACCCCCCACAAAAAGTGAATAACTTCTAGCGGTTTAAATGGAAACTACCACTAAACACTAAAAAGCTAAGGGGATGGCTGGGAGCCACCAAGTGAAAAAACACCCGCCAGGTGAGCATCGACAAGCCGATAGACTGTTTGGTTCTACCAAAAAGTAATAAAGTTTTATATGGGACCCTAAAATGATGGTTTCTTCAAAAAAGTGGGGGGCCGAAAAAAGGCAACCGAAGGGGACACAACACGCTAAGGGTACCATCATCTCTTGATCCCTCAAGGAGACACACAAGCCAATGCCCTGAAATCATCTGGGCGAGCTCATTATAATATATCTCACGAACCTGAAGCAAGACACAGAGAGGGGCGCAACATTGATCACAAACCACACCCCGGGAAGCCGGTTGGAGATCGATTTCATTTGCCGCCCAAGCAAACAATTCGCCCCTAGCACGGGTAACCAACACCTGACATGAGGGAATCCCCAAGTAAAGCCCCTTTATCTCGGGTGCGGCAAAATATGGTTTAAACCCCACCTTTACAAGGGAAGAGTCATCATAACCAGTGGTTTTAACATGTTTAAGCCAATGGCCCCACCTTCATCGCAGCTCAGCTCGTTTTATGAGATGCAGAATCCATCCCTCCGGCCTCCATTCGAAGACATTGCCCAAAGCCGTGATCAGCGCAGTAAAGTCCTGGAAAGCTGGAAATTGACCCACCTCACTTGAGGTGGACCTCTTCCAAAAAACACCAGCTAGGTCCTCCAGTAGAGAGGTTAAAATAAGGGTGCAAAGTCAGGACGTCCATCTTAGTAGGGGAACTCCCCAAAAGAGAGGCCAATGTTCCCAGCCCTGCGTTTTACGTGAAAAGGCTGTTTTGTGATACGTCACAAGAGGCTTTTGTAAGCATAAGAAGCGCAATGGGAACCTTGGATTCTGCAATTGCTGATTGCATTCCCAGTTCATGGCACGTAGTACGATAAGGCCATTCAGCTTTTGATCTGGTGGTTTGCCCCCTTTTCTTGCGTTTGCCTTGCGATTTCCATCTGGCCGTGCCTGTTTGTCTCGCAGCAAACTTGATCGTTGTTTGCTATTCCTGTCGCCCGCAAACATCCGCACACAGACATGGCCTTGGAAGCCGACAACATGACCTATGATGACCTCAAAGAGGTGGAGGGGCTCACTTGCAGGCCCGTTCATGCAGTTTACACTCGTGTCTTCAACATCACCACCTTTCCCGTGCGCGACCTCAGCCCAACTCACTCTCTTCCCTCACCCTTCCCAATCTCTTTCTCTCGCTTGCAGGTGATGATGAGTGAAGAAGTGAGCGAAGAGACAGGACAAGCAAGGAAGAGAAAGGGAAAGAAATGCTTACTATCATAAAAGCATTTCCAGATTCTAAGAGATATAAAAAGCAATGCTTTCCATCTCTTGCGTTCCCTTTCTCCATTCTTACCTCTCATGCCACTCCCAAGGTTACAAAAAGAGAATGGGAATGACAGGCCAAGATGTTTGGGAAAGAGATAGAGAGTGAACGGTTAGACCAAGAGATGGGACAACAATAAAGACATTCCAGCCCGTCTAGCTTTCACTTAGAATCGGGGAAGATGAATAGAGGTGAAGGAAGAGGAATTCATTTGTAACTGCTGGAAAGAACTGGCCAGCGGGTTGGATTTCATCTTGTCACCTAATCACTTTCCTATCTCTCTCTTCATCTACTTCCTTTCTCCTTTCCATTCTCACCGTTGCAACGGCTAGGAAAGAAGAAAAAATCAAGAGGTAGGAAAGAGAATTAAGATAAAGTACCCAGATGACATGAAAGACATTCTGGATTCTAAGACATGACTAAGGGAAACGAGATGGTTGGATGGCCATCCCTTCTCTCTCATCTCTTGCCCCGCCCTCTACCCCCATCTCATCTTCAAGGAAGCTGTAGGTGGCGAGGACTAGAGATGAAAGGGAGAACAGAGAGGCAAGATCGAGGTTTGAAAATCGGTGAGCGTTGCCGCTGGCCAATTATAGTTAGTGATAGGGATGACAGAGAGACTGATGTAGGCAAGAGATGTAAAGGTCACAAATATTCATCAGCCATCCTCCCCTCTCGCCAATCAACTCGGCATATCTTCAAAACCATTAATACCTTTGGAAAACACACTGCGCGCAGTGCGCTTCAGACTGCTTCCGAAATCTGAGCGCCCTGTCAAGCATCTGTGGCAAAGTAGCAAAGAAACTCAAGAAATCCAAAAACACCAAACCTCCAAACACCAAACCTCCAGACACCTACTTTTGGCAAGGCAAGCCCGTCATACCAAAACATTTCCCTCATATCTGTGTTGTTTGTTGTTTGTTTTCTCGTATTATTTTTGAGTTGTGGTTCCCTCCGTCATACCAAAACTTTTCCCTCATATAGGAAGCCGTGTTAGGTTTGTTTGTTTTTGGTGTTTTGTTTTCTCGAGGTTTTTTGCGTTTCCAAACGCAGGGCTGGGGACATTGGTTTCTGCCCCAAAAAAGGTAAAAGGGCACTACTGGGGAACCTAGTGTTCTAAAGGGATTCCCGTTTTGGATGCGATGCTTTACCCCGACATCGGCGAGCTCAGTAGAAAGTGGCGCCGGAATTGGACGAGCAACGGACTAGCGTTTGAAACACAAAGTAAGGTCAACAGGTTACCAGGCAAACCCATTGCTGAGACAAGGTTTGTTTTTGTCGTCGGAAGAGGTCAGCACAACATGAACATGTGCCATGCTCAAAAAAGAGCTTATATATAGCAGCGCACAACTCAACGAAAGGGCGTTAGGCCTTATCAGCAGACACTTCCCTGGGCATGTTTTTTGGGAAGCTTGCGCAAGTTTTCTGCAGTCCATTGATGGGCTTTCAAAAGCTGATTCGGAGCGGTCATGGCTCGTTTCAACCCGTTTAAGCCACTCTTGCTTAAACAAAAATCCAGCGGGTGTCCAGGCAAGGTTGCTTTACATTTAAACACATCTCGGCCCCTATCCAGGTGGAAGGCCCGGGGACGGCCTCAAAAGGCATCCCGGCAAATTAAGTGGTCAGCCATTGAGGGGAATGTGTTTTGACGGATTAGAAGGTAATCCCCCATACTGCTGGCTGGTGTTTCTGGGAATTGAAACAAATTTTTGGCAACACACTGCCACCAAAAACCGGTAGGGATCCCCCACCGATATCAACGCCTATCAACACGCAAAACCGATCGGGCACCAAAACACCTTCCTGGTACTGTGAATAGAACAAACCCACCAGTTGCAATGGAACCCTGAATACTGCGATCATGGACATTAACCTCCCTGGTACAGGTAGTGCTGTGGCTGGACGAAATCCGTTCGCACCACCTTGAAACCAACCATGGTTGAAACCATGGTACGTTGGAATTTGCAGGGGAATCATCACTGGGAGTTTTCTGATCCCCCGCTAAAAGATTAACTTTTACTGGAAACTACCACGAAACACTAAAAGGCTACAGAGCTAAGGAACCGGATGGCTGGGAGCCACCAAGATCAGACTCCAGGTTTCTGAACAGTGGCGCGACATGAAGTTTGTCTATCCACGTTCTTTCTGGCTCACACGACTCGATCCGAAACTCGATCCACTCAAACCGCACGGCCCGGCCTGTGGACTCTTTAGGTGGCCCTTCTCCCGCAACTGCTTCACTGTGTCCGGCGCAGTGCGGGCCTGACATACATGGGCCTTAGCAATGAGAATGGGCTTGTCGGGTTCTTTCAATTCAACTTAAGTCAGAAGCACAGACCTGGAAAACCGAAGTCAACATCAACAACAAACAAACCATCTGTGCATCTAGTACGTTCTCTTCTCACTCTCTGGTTGCTGGGGTTCCCCTTCAACAGGTGCACTTTGCTTCATTTATTTGGATCCCAAAACCGATTCCTAAAGACCAACTTAGGGAGATGCTGCTTGCAGGTGGTCCGCTACACACGCTACCAGCACTCTTTGGCGTCGCCACAGAGACGCGGCTAGGCTTCTCGTTCGACATGACCGGTTCCTCGTGTGCAAGGTGTTAACAGCCCGGCAGCTGGGCCATGGCAGGCCACACGTGGTGTTATAGCGAAGTCAGGCCCACAGTTCCTCTACTATGTCATTGGGAACTTGGGCGGCTTCCACTGTAAGCAGCACTCTCTGCGGTGCAAGGAGGACGGCAAAGTCGAAAAAGAGAAAACCTAGGAGAAATGCAACTTTGGCTTTCACTTCATCGAGAACACTGGCGCGCGCAAGAATGTCACAAGCAGCTTCGCTGGATTACCATCTAAGCCTCTCGCCGCAGAGGGTTCGCTTTGCAATCTCAAAATGTGAGCCGCGCCACAGCGAGAGCCCCACCCAAAGCGCGCAAAGGGTTCACTTTGCGTGCTGAAAACCCAAAGCGCGCAGAGGGTTCACTTTGCAATCTCCAAATGTGCACCGCGCCACAGCGAGAGCGACTCGACCCAACGAAAGCGCTGCGCCTGCCACGAACTCTGCACGAAAAGCTCTAAAGTGCTGCGCCTGCCACGAACTCTGCACGAACAGCTCTAAAGTGCTGCGCCTGTCACGAAAAATTGTACGACAGGGCCAGCGAAAGCGACATTCGAGGAAACGCTTGCGCGCGTGTTCAAAGCAAAACACCTCAAAACGACAATCCCCGAAACGCGAATCACAATCAATTTGCAACGCAAGCGCGAACCTTCACAAAACACTGCGCCTGCGCAGCAAAACAACGTCTGACATGCTAAGAGCTACGATTCCCCGCACAGGGGCACTCAAAATGACACGCTTCAAGTCATCTAAATGGCACGATTTTCGCTTTCCCCACTGGAGCTGCGACCGCGACACTCGCGAACACATACGGACGCTTGCGGACGCTAGAGGACGTAAATCAACGACTTCTGGTCACGTCCTAACCCGCAGACCCCCGACCTCTAAACAGGAACCCTTCTGCTACGCATTCGGGAAAAAACCTAGTAATTCTTGGTTGTTTGCTGGAAATCCAAGAATTCCCAAGAAAAAACAAGAAAACCTCGAGAAACCCAAGAATCCAAGATTTTGTAGTGGACCAGACATCTGCCTGAAAATGTTGGATTCTGGGATTCTTGGTTTTCTCGCGGTTTTCTTGGTTTTATGTGAAAATGGCTAAAAACCCGAAGGTGTTGCTGCAAAACCATCAAAAACCCAGGGAATTCTTAGTTTTTGACTTAGGGATCTATCTGAAAAAGCATGTCACTTTTTACACGTGTTTAATGTTTTCCTGGTTTTATGTTGCTTGTTTAACCGAAAACCAGAAAAAGAAAAAAACCTGTGTTTTAGTTCACTTTTTCATTGTCTGTTAATTGTCCCCAACGACTTGTTGAAAGAAAACGGTGGGTCATGCAGGGGAGTGACCATATATATATATATATATGTATATATACATATAACATATAGCTATATATTACCCGAGCAAGCTCAACTCCTCAAGAGCCAGCCAAAAATTCAGAACTGAGCGTGCCACCAAAAAGGAGACAGGGAAAGCACTGTATATCTTATCATGATGGTGCAAGCGTTGTTGTTACAAAGGATCTGGCCGGGCAACTTGCTATAATCCACACAAGCTACAATATGGATGCTCCAACCTCATTTGCCTAGATGCCGCCGGCCAAGGCTTCAGTTCTCGCTGACAAGGCCAAAAGCAAAAGAAGACACGCCTTGTCTTGCCGACCCAATGTTTTTTCAACTTAGCCCAATAAACCTGGCAGTAGAACCAATTACTCAAATGGCCGGTACTGGCGGTTTCAGGCACTGCAAAATGGGCCAGAGCACGAACAGAAAAACAGTGAGATCAAGTGAGATCTACCTCGTACATGGCCTCAAACATCCTGCAGTCTGTGCAGACTCATCAGTTCAAAAGCTACGTTCCCAAAGGCAGTGAGGGCGATCTAATTCAACGACATTCGAGGGCGATGCGTCTGGTCAACGCAACAAACCTGTTCCGATTGCTGAAATGACAGAAAACGGCAGAGGTGTCGGCACGTACAGGCCACAACCCAATCTTACATATCACGTAATCGTTCAACCCAAAGTTGCCTGACAGAACGAAAGTCACCCGGTTCGATCAAAAAGGTCGGCGTTGGGCCCAACCGACGCAGGTCACATCCCCACGCTGGTCACGTCCGTCCGTGTGTCATTTGTGTTGCCATTTCCGGGGCCTAAGAGCCAAAGGTGTGGCCGTTTCTGAAGAGTTTTCAGTGTCATGTCGACCCCATGTTGGCCCCATATGAATCAACTCCAGTGTGTCCAAGTCTGATTCCAACCACTAAACACAGAATCGGACACCCCCACCGCCCCACATGAATAACCTGGGGTGGATTAAGATGGGGTCAACATACCCAAAAGGACCACCTTGGAATGAATCGTTGGGGATTCCTGACAAACCATAGGACGGACGGATGGTGAGTATCTCGGGGTCGCTCTAACTCATTCTCTGCTGAGACCCAGCAAGTTGTGGGACATTGACATGCGGACAAAAAAGGAAATCGCTGGTCAAAAAGGTCGATTCGCTTTGGGCAAGTGTGGTATCTTCCATTCCAGTCCCTAACACAAACTTCAGGAACAAAAACGCAAGCCAGCCGATAGTGGGAACACTTTCCGCCTGCAGTTGCTTGAGCAGCTCGCTCTTGCCTATCCCGAAAGCAGTCAGTGGCTGCTGTGGCTGACTCTCGGAATCTCATGCTTACTTGCCCAGTCATGGCAAAACGTACCACTATTTTTGTCCAACACGCTAGACAAGTGTGAGTTGTTGTGCGTGCGCAGTGTCCGTCTTCTGCACTAAATTGGGGCGAGGTGGTTTGTACCTGTTTACGCATGCTATGCCCCTAGAGCTGTCCAACAAACGCAAACAGCCACCTCCGCTCAAAACAAAAACGACACCCACAACACCAACACAACTTTCAGGGGCGTGTTCAATCACAGCTTCCACGTTGCATGGTATCTGTGTTGCTTCTGGGCTGTCCTCAGGGAACTAAAAGTGAATAACTTGCGGGTGAAATTCGGAAGCCCATTCACTAAACCACCACTAAACATCTCGGGAACCGCATGGCAACCACCAAGCAAAGAGAAATGAGCCGGGGTTCCTTGAGGGTGTCGCTCGGGTGTTCTGGGGATTTCCGAGTTCCCCTTTTGCCGCATCCAATTCCCTGGGGTCTGACTGGACATTTGTCAAAACTCCGCTGAGAAACGCGGGAACTGAAGGCCAAGTTTCACAGTCCGGTCGAGTCCCTATGCGATGAGCATATGCCATGAGCCATACTTTACGCATCATTCCAGACAAAACATCGGAAAGGCTAAAGAGGGCAGCAGCCATTCTAGATAGAAGTATCAAGAGCTCGACATCGTTTACATTTGCTGAGGCTGCTGCCATGGACGGAAAAAAACTGGGCTCTGCAAATCCCCTTACCACCCAAGACCGGGTGATCAACCCAGTTTGTAGCATACTCTTAGCCAACAAGGATGATGTATGTTCCTGAACTTGAACACCTGAAAGCGGTGTCCAAGATTGGGACCAGCTTTCACCCCCGATACCACCCGAAAGACATAGACCTTATGTTCCTGTTCTTGTTGCAATTGGATCATGCGCCATCCTGTTTGGGAGATACTGATCTATCTGACCCGTCTGGGCGCAGAAGGGTAATACTTTGCCCTGCAACATAAAGGTCCTCAAGGACAGGAAGCTTCCTCGTGGGTCATGTTGCAACCCCCCATGCGAGGTTACCACAAGTGGCTCCCTTCATTTTGCAGAGCAAGTGTGAGAATGCTTAACTGGCTTGGGTATTTGGTTGTTTCAAACAACGAGTACCACCAATTCCAACGGAGCTTTTTGAGGTTCCAATATTTTTTTGGCTACAACCTTTTGGGGGGTTGCAACCCTTTTCGGCCTGCCATGTAACTGGGTACCACGAGTCGCGCCTGCCGCCCGCGCGCCGCGTATTCGCCGCGGCGGATTCTTCTTTGCGAGCCCTGTGCGGGCCTCCAACCCAATGAAGGAGATGGGGATGGGGTTGCTTTTGAACTTTTGAGATTGGTTACTGGCGGTTGACCCCTCTGCAAAAAGTTGAGCACTTTTGCGGGTCCAACTAGGAAAATCCACACTTGCCCCAAAAAGCTCAAGTCAACCTCTCTTTTGGTTGGTAGGGATCCCCTGAGATGGGTGGGGGAATGGTAAGAAACCTTTTCAATCATGGGGTGGTTCCCGAATATGTGTCCATTTGAGCGGTTTCCCTTGGGTTTCCCTTCAACACCGACAAAAAAGGGGGGGGGGGTCCCCAAAAGCATCGAGCGGTTCTTCCTTTGGATGCTTGCACCCAAAGGCAACACCCCACAACGGATGGTTTTCCAGAGTCACAGCATGACACATGACACACCGCTCTTGAGCACTCGAAACGGCCACACATACTGCCAGGATCACAGAAGGGCACGAAATGGCTTGGCCAATGCTCAACCCTCAGCATCTCCCGGCCACTCAAAGGCGGAAAGATCTGCCAAGCCGCGGTTTGGTTCGAGCCTCCGGGCGCAGTGGCTGCAGGCAGGCTTCTGCAGCTTCTGCGGACATTGTCCAAGGCAGCGGCAATCTTGTGGTTCTTGCCGCTCGAACGTCGTGTTGAGAACAGGACCATCTTGGCCTTCTCCCGCACGAGTGTCTACCATCTGTTTTTGTGCACGAGCCCAGGTCATCAGGACCACTCCCAGGCCCACGGTTTGGCTCAAGCACTGGTCTTCTTATGCTCACTTCCCATCGAGTGGATTGGCCCAAGCAAGTCCAAACTGCTTAATTGCCACTAAAATGGCCCACCCAAAAAAATCGAAGTCAAGAAACTCGGCAAGTAAGTGTTTCACTCACACTCAAAACCCATTCAAGGCAAAAGGATGGACAGAACTCAGACCGACTTCTCTCGCAACGGATTGAATCTTCACTTCTGAAGTTAGGCCCAAGTGGAAGGTAGAATGAAATATGGCCATGTGTCAAAAGCCCGGTTATCCCCCAGTGAACATCCCAATCCCCACTCAAAAAAGACTAAAATAGGTGGTGCACCTACCCCAAAACGGTACCATTGGTTTTGTCCCACAGCCATATACCTCGCACCCCAAGGCACTCAGCTCCACAAGGTAATCGTCGAAATAGTTCAGTGATCATCTCAACCAGGACTCGCTGAATCAATCTGGCAAATCTATTGTTGTCACTCCAGAAGTCAACAATACAGGCCCAGCTGCGAGCTGTTTGATCATCAAAGACTCTAAGGTCATAGCCCGGCCAAGTCCGCTGAGTGTTCCCCCCACCAGGACCACCCAACGACCGTTGTTCTCAATTTTGTGAAAGTGCCGCCAATTTGAAGGCACTTGTGAAAAAATGCAATCGGCAGCACTTCAGGCCTATAACCCTCCAGTTTGGAGACCATTCTCAGCCCATTCATGGCAGCTGAGTCTGCTAAGCGTTTTCCAAGCTCGCGGCCAGAAGAACTGTCTGCAGATTTGCCACCCCCACTGTGAGCCTAGATCTGGACAAAATTGCCAGCAAAGGCTTTTGAAAATCTTTCGCGAAAAGCAGCATGGGGCAACGCGGGGCGACACGGGGCAATACGCAGGCAACACAGGGCGACACGCAAGCGACACGAGGCGAAACGAGCACGACGCAGGGCGGCGCGCGAGCGACGCTGGCCGAAACGCACGTGACACGCAGGCGACACGCAAGCGACACTCAAGCGACACGCAAGCGACACGCAAGCGACACGCTTTCGCAGCCGAAGTGATGCTTTGGGGGCTAAAATGTCATGCCTTGGGGCCCCAAAGCAGCACTTTCACTCTGCGTGACACAGGGCAACACGCAAGCGACACGCAAGCGACACCCCAGTGACACGGAGAAAAACGCAAGCGACTCGAGGCGACGCGCAAGCGACGCGCAGGCCGAGCAAACAACCTGCAAGTGACATGCTCGTGACGAGCGATGGAGATTTGCATGGCCGTTTGCTGTAAGGGTCATGAGCAGGTTTTGTGCTGAGGTTGGCGCACAGCGTGCTGACTTTGGTCACACTGCCTTTTTGCCCTGCCCTGCCCTCGTATATCCGTCCGATTTTAGGGGGTTTGCGAAAATCCAGCAAAGCATCACTTAGCCAAAAAGTGACGTTGTTTGTGTTTTACCCCTAAGTGACGCCAATTTGGCAGCACTCGGGCGGTGCTGGCATTTGTTATATTTGTTCGGATGGTAGTCATATGGTCCCGAATGACAGATCAATACATCAAGAGTTTAAACAAGGAAACCCAGTTCAGCTAGTAGTTAACAAAACAGTTTGATGAAACCCAGCAATCAAGAAGAATCCCAAGTTTGTCCGATACTCACCGTGCTTGAATTAAGGCATCTTTGTGTGCGAGCAAGGTTCCCCAGGCCCAGTGGCCATGGGAAAGAAGTAAGAGCACCTGTCTCTTGGTCGTTACTGTTGAAAGGAACCCGACCAAGAAAAGGAACACAAATGAGTCATAATCAAAACCGATCGGTACAGAAATTGTGACCCCAGAACCATGCAAGGAATTGAAAAGGCGGCCGGAATTATTTCCGGCTGGGACTGCCCCTTACTAACCTTTATCTACCCGAGTTTTGATTGTGGCTCAAATGGCTTCGCGAGGTGCGGGAATTGCAGCGACACTCTGCCTGCCTGCAAGGTTGACCTCAGACGCTCGAATGCGTGCGCCTCTCCTGCACCAGTGACCCTTGAAGCCATGACTGAACTCGGATGGGAGCTATTTTTTTGCATCATATGGGTGCTGTGTTCTTTTTGTTCCCCCTTTTCTGCGTCGTTTTAAAAGGGGGCCAGAAGGAAACCCAAAGTTATGTTGGGGGGACCGCAAAAAAAAAAAGCAGATCCATATTTTTGTTTGCTTGAGCCAACCCACACCCTCTCAACATGGGCAACACCTTTGCAACCTACCATGCAAAAAAAAACAATCCAAGGGCGACGAGGGATCCATGCGCATCATTGATCACTCCTGGCAAGGCATGTGAGCTTCGCACAAGTCGTCACACAAGGAGATTGCACAGTGATGCTGCGCTCTTCGTGCTGGGCCCCCAACGTCCAATCACCATAGCCGAGCATGGCTCAGGCATCCAGAATCGTGCTGCTTGCAAGCTCCGATGCTGTTTCCAACACAACCCAACCGCTGCGAAGCCAACTACTGTTGCAATCAACCTGCCAAAGCATCCGTGTACTTTACAAGGGTTCCCCTAAAACGGTGGTCCTCCCTTTGATTTGCCCAGCAAACAACAACCTCCTTCCACTCTTGAAGCAGCTCAATTTCTCGATGGACACATCTTCGCAAGTGGATCAAACTTTAATCTGGAAAGTTTACAAAAGGGGTGTGTCTTATTTGAGGGTACCCGTTCGGGCGTTTTAAAGGGACATCAACAGAACACAACCAATTTTTTGGGGTCCCCCCTAAGGAATCCCCAAGAAAAGGGATTGCACAAGCTTGTCATTATTCGCCCAGAATGATGCAAACAAGCCTGAGGAAGCTATTGGACTAAGTGTTCAATTTGACTTTTCTTTGAATAAAACGTGTGTACAAAAACATCTCCAGAAAGAGCTAATGATTCGAGGGATGTGAATGATGTGGTTTCATGCTGGGCACTCACAATGATGGCCTTCTCTAAACTCCGGGAAATCAATCGTGGCTCCGCACTGACTTTGTTTGATGCCAAAGCCTAGTGTTCATGGTAGCCTCTTCAAATCACCTGGCAGCCAAATGGCTTCAGACGACTCGAATGCACTCACTCTCTAGGCCAACTCTCAGGGAATCAACAAGCGTTTCAGGAATAAACCCGGGATCCCCTACAAAACCCTCTGTTGGATGTGCTTTTGGGCTCATTCCCCAGAATCCCCATCGAACCAGCAACAAGGCAACCCTTGACAGATCAACCCAGGTCTCTGAATCGCTCGAATGGCGTCAGCCGTGAGGAAGGCAAACCTCCAAGGGACCAATCCCAAGGCTTTCCCATGCTGGAAGAGTTCTTACCGAAGGGCTCTTAGAGTTCTGAGAGCCTTTCTAGTGGATAGGGAGGCCCGAACCCATCCCAGCGCCAAGCTTCGCCAACCGGATCCGGCCGATTTGCAGTTTCACCTGTGGCTGCTGCGAGAAAATGAAGGAATGCCAAGTGTTCCAAAGGGCAATTGAAAGGCAAAAGGGCAACGTGGGGTAAGTCTGGCAAAAGTAGAATGCACAGTGATGTTGACCCAGGATGAATAAACGTGTCCCATGATTAGGCGGCTGTTTCCTCCAAAAGTGATGAGGGACACCCTCCAATCAAAATCAGCCAGGGATTTGTTAATCCAAAACTTCTCTACAAACATCTCCTGGACCGCAGCATCCGCTTCCCCTGCCAACAAAACACACCTGATGTGAAATTATGGTTCACTTGTAGTGAAGTTCCATCATGCAAACGAATGAACAGAGCATTCTGATCTGTATAATCAGTGAGTAACTGTTCGGTTGACCAACTGGAACCTCACAACCCCGCAATTTCAACCTGAGGATTCACGAGGCTCTGATCAGTCAAAGTTCCCTCTACGGGTGTTCCACCCCAAATCACACAGCGACATGTTTTTGAGGGGGCGGCACTTGACTTCTTGACAGATTCGCTCATCTCTAACTCGCTGGTCTTCCCAAAAAGTGACTAAAGTCCGAACTCAGGAAGTGAGCCAAGCCTTCCCTAGTTCCTGGCCGCGCCTGGTTTTTCACGCAAACGGACCGGAATCCCTCGATTCGGATGCAAAAAGCCAGCGGCCGGCAAGCGGCTGGCACTTCTTGGTGTCCTGGGATTGCTCGAGTGAAGGACCATCATCAGCGAGTTGTACCCCACGGAGGGGAGCTCGCCACAGGCCGATCAATCATTCACATCCCCCATCCGAGCCAAAAACAATGATCTTACCCAAGCGAACCATTCACGATGCTTGGCCTTGGTTCGGCTCTACTTGGTCTTGTCTGGCCTAAGCCCAAGGTGAGCTTGCTACAACATAGACAGATTCATGCAACAAACACACTTGCTCTCCAGTCCTTCGCAACATGTAAAGTACTTGGCTTAGTGGGAAAATAAGTCTAAAAGTCTAAGCTAGCAATGCCGCTGGGAGTAAACTTGTCTGTCCTTTCTCCATCTTCTACTGCTGTCAATTCGTCCCTTCTGTGGGGTTACGCGACAAACGGAAATGGGCATGGGTCAATCAAGTGCCGAGCTGTTCGCATCAGAAAAGTATCACAAAGGCTTAGTCAGTACCGAAACGTCCTGGAATTAGAACATCCCGAACCCCAAGCAAGCAGCTCTTCTGACCCTTAACAACCTTAACTACTCTCTGCCCCTGAATCTTGTGGGGAGGGGGTTCCATTTTGGGCCGCTCCCTATTCTTGAGCCACACCCACATAAGTGTGTCTCTTTTTTTCTGAGGGCAACCCTTTTGGTTGGTTTTGCAGGGAGACCACAAAGGATGCCGGAGGCCATTTTGGGGGTTCCCTTATTTTGACAAACCATTTTGGGCTTCCTTGTTTGGACCTCTACAAGTAACAGTGTCAACATAACTCACCAGTGCATGGCAACCCCAGTAGGGTGTTTTAAGTGCCAGTTTCGGTGTTTTAAGTGCCTGTTTTGTGGGGGGTCAATGATTGACCCGACAAACTTCTCGCTTCTCGCCTCAATGCTGCAGCAGGTCGATGATAGCTTTGTGGGAGCAGAAAGCGATGAGGCTCCTAGTGTGCTGCTGGAATCGTCAACTAGGTCCTCCAGATTTGAGAGGTTAGAATAAGGTACCCAATCTTTTTTGTAGGCTATTTTAGTAGGGGAACCCTCCCCCAAAAAAGTTGGAAACTTGGCACTACTGGGGGACCTAGTCAAAGTCGAAACAGTGTCTTGGCGTCCCTTGAATTGGTTTCGTTTGGTGGTACAGAGGTGTTCCGGTGGGTGCCAATTCCTAAGTCCCAATCCAAAGCACCAATAAAGGGCTACCTGAGGGACATTATTTTTAAGAATAACCCTTTCGGCGATGCCAAAGCGGACCATCCCGTGACTATTCTGCCACTCAACTGCGTGAGTGTCCTTTTGGTAACATAGATGGCCCTGGTAAATGAAATACAAATGAAACCAATCTAAAGCAGTGCCATCTATTTCTAAGAGCCTCTCAATCCAAGCTTAAGCACAGGCCCAAGGACCTAAAACAAAAGGTTAACCTGTAGAGACTGTGACAAACACACTGGACAGGGAGCATCTGAAAGGTTGAAGAAGGTTGGCTTTGGGCAATCAAGACAACTCTCATCAACATGTAGATCAGCATGTCGGTCACCATGGTCACGTCTCAGCAATAGATGCCTCACCTACCTTTCTTGTTACCCGCCTTTCAAAAGAGGCACGGAGACAGATTTCAAAAGGTACGTTCCGAGCTCCAACCAAAGGAGCTTGTACTCTCATGGGATGCTGCCCCAAAGTTGCGGGTGTTCTCCTAATTATAGTTTGAGGGTAGTTAGAGGATCCAATAACCCACTTTCGCTGACTCCTGTCCCATTTGTCCACCTCTAAAACCGCAAGAAAATCTCAGTGCTCCACAAGTTCTTCGGATTCCGAGACTGTCCAATTTCCAGGGGTTGACGGCTTGACCTAAAAAAACACCTGGTATCCTCCAAACAAGGCTTGCGACTTCGGGTCTGCAGCAGAAATCAGGGCGGGTTGATTGTGTGTGTGTGTGGCTTTTAGTCAGCAGTAAAATATACCATGATTTTGGGGAGCCCTCAGTCGAGCAGGACAAACATCCAAGAACGCGCCCCAGTCAGCAAAGCTGGAAACAACCCGTGATACCAAAGTGGGTCATATATGGCTGTGGGTCAAAACCCTGTACCCCTGGTGAACATCAAAGTAGGTGGTGGTACATGGGTGTTCATCTGCCCCAAAATGGAGGTATAGGTCACTGACCCATGGCCATATATTATATGACTACTTTGCCACTTGGTTCCCGTGAGATCCGACACAGTTGCAGAAGGAATCCCCAAGGAAGGGACAACATCGGAATATCGCCAATATCCTTGATCAAAAATGGAAGCTAATGCCACAAACACCTAGATGGTCAGTGACCATGGCCAAACAAGTCGGCATCCTTTTTTTGCTGGTGCCACAGGCAGGGAATGAGGGAATGACCCCTTCGAGGGGTACCTTCCCCATTCTTTCCCTTAATGCTTCTTTCTAGAAAACCTCTGGAAACCCATGGAAAATGGTTGGTTTTTGAAAATAATGATGGTTGCAAAGAATTGGGAATCACCCCCTAGACCCCTATAAACCATCCTCTATGGTTTCCTTTAAGGGAATCCCCAGGTCCCTTCCCTCATTCCATGCCTATCGCACCAGCAAGTCAGCAACATCCACGCCGCCGGGGCGCAAAAGGTTGAGCCACTTCAGCGGTGGCCCCAACCACTTTGGCAGCACCATGGTCGCATCTTTCCCCGCAGCGGGGATGCAAACAAAGGCCAGCACCAGGATGGTCTCCACCCCATAAAACCTGGCCAAAACACACACACACATACTAGGGAGGGTGTTTCGAATTGTTTGGCCCTTCTTGACTGGTAAAGGGAAACCAGCGTGAAAACAGAGTCTCCTTTGAGAAGCACCCAAATTTCACTGCATAGAACCTGCAACCAAAATCGCACCCAAATAGATCGCACGGGGAAGGCGTCAAGTCAGATATTAAAATCAAGTTGATGTGATACAGACCATCTCTTGTAGTCCTACATTCCAGACCGTAGCTGGCGCGAGGGCATTTAGGGCAACTGGTTGCTTGAAAGCTTTCCGACGGCTCCCATGGCACTAATACGTCAACAGCAGCTGCTGCTTCATGTTTTGGCTGGCCATTTCATGTGCCCCCCTGGTTCTACCACGATGGCTTTAAGGGTTTATTAGGAGAACCACCGTGCCAATGGGAAACTGTGCTGAGTGCTGCTCAAAAGGGATCTTGCTCTTGCTATGTGCGATTCATCACATGAACCATGCGTCCAGCTTGACTCCGCTGCGACTCCCCCAATCTATGGGGAAGCCATACTCTTCCTTCCTGGCATCAATCTTTCTGCAGGGTCTTCAGAGCAGCCCTCTAAACATTTATCTTTCATACATCACCAACCGAGAATCAGTCTATGGAAGAGACTTTCATCATGGGTGAAGTCGCACGTCAGTGAGGTTGCTGGAATTTGTTCAGTTTTTAAGACTTAAGTACATCCGTGATCAAGCTTGCACGCTTTCCCGCTCGAACGTGAGATGCAATGATGTGGCAATCTGTTTGTAGCCCCAAGACCTGACTTGAGGCCTTTGAGGTTCCCAAGGCCCTCCATTTTTCGGGCCGACTCGGGGCTGGGGTATGCTGACTCAGAGCCATAGCTCAGCCCAAGGGCTCATGTCTTTCGTCCTTCCCAGAGGGACATGATACCTTCCAAAACGTGCGCCTTAGAGCACGGCTCAAAACCCGCCTTTAGGAACAACATGTTGTACGTGTCCTTCCTGGGCTCTTCAAAATGGAGCGTTGGCCAATCCGTTTTTCCATAATCCCGGATTTGGAAAGCCACTACAAGTGCGTAACCCAAGGCAAGGATTAACGATTGCCTTTGAACAGCCCAGACTGCAATCCCCTTCGGCACTTTTTGAACACGGTTTCCGGAATTAACGTTTTGGATCCGCACACATGCCATAATGTTGACCCCACATTGATCAACTCCAGTTTATCAATAGGGGGGTGTTGCTGGGTTTAGTGGAAAATATGGGGTCCACATTTCCCTCATTGTGCCCTCATGGTGCAAAGGTCTTTCTGGGGGTTTGTGCCAGGGACAAAGGTGGCAGCTTGTCTTTCTGGAGATTGAAGCCACAGCCCAACAACCCGGCCCGCCTTGCTCTCTTGCCCATCTGCGAGGGGCGAAGTGACGGGTGCAAAATGAATAATTACTATGCGCATATGAGGTCTTTTTTGTTGGGTGGTAAGGGAATTACAGGCACACCACCAATATTGGGAGCTGCCAGTTGGAGACAGTAGGTCCCAAAAGGAAACGACCCTTCCCAACAAACAGCAGCCTATGTTACCTGCAATCTTCTCGGACATTGCATCAGGCGCCATGTGAACATAGGAGGCCTGGTGGCTCTCGCCGTCCAAAGTCTGACTTCAGAACACGAAGAAGGCAGAGTTGGAATAGCCCAGTTGCTCAAAGGGCCTGGAAATGAAAGGTTCATCTTTTGGGGCCATGACTAAAAGTCGACCGAAAAGGGAGAACCCAAGGGTCAAAAGGCCGGCTTTGTGTGAGATAGAGTTGCGGGCCTAACAGCTATCAAGCGAGTGACGCACGCACGTCTCGGCCCCGAGCAAAATGAGAGAGCGCCCCCAGAAGTACCAAATGAACAATCGCGGTATGAGGTTTGGTCAATGGCCCATACAGGAGGGACCATACAACACCCACCAAGCTTCCTGCTAAACAAGCAGTCCTCTTTAAACTACTTTGGCCGCGGCTCATATCTCACCAACAAGGACTCTGCAAAGGCCAAAACAAGTAGTAGGGGTTGTGGGGTACTTGAATACCAAGCTTCATCATATCTTCCGGAGAAAGCTATTGGTAAAAAAATCAGACCATGATTTTGCTCAATAGCTCAGACAAGGGATCCAAAATGGGGCCGTGTCATACGAGCAGTCTGCCCACTGAGCTATGCACATGACGCGACGCATCAAAAGTGTTGCTTTCTACCTGGGCTCTTCATGATGCTTCATTGGGTATCCCGCTGCTGCCGCGAAGGAACTTTGTCCGAATAAAGTGGATCAAGTGCAAGTGTTCAAGCATCCGTTACAGCAACCCAAAAAGCAGGAGGTTACCATCTGTGTCTCTGTCCTGTGAACATCAAAGCAGCCACCACATGGGATGCGTTTTGACTCTGGCTTTCGGGTTCCTGCAGAATTTCCTCAGGTCTCATTGTGACAATAATTCTATAATTGATGAACTGGAATGACAACCTTCATCACCGGCGAGCTTGTTTTACCCCGGGAAGAGCTCATTCTAGCTTGTGCAGATTAGTCAATGTTGCAATCGAGCCTATGACCAGGCATCAACACCACAAGCACAAAGACTTGCCAGGCAATGTCTCGATCCGATATCATGAAGGGCTGCTACAGCCCCCCTGGCCAAAAGCGCCTTATTGTAGGCCGGAAGTTTTCTTCCAAGTACCACTTGTCAGCCTCCATGTTCTTTTCACGACCGCCAGCGGCTATGCGGACACCGCACCTGATATTGGTAGTTGACTTCAAAGAAAAAACTCTGCTGCAAAATGGAAGGAAAAGGATAGCACCAGAGGTGTGGCAGAAAGGGCGAAGCCGCCCCAACTCACTTCCGATCGAGTGGGTTGGCCAGACAAAGAATAAACTTTCTGAGTATGGAGCTCTCACTCCCTGAGTTGATGGCCCAAAAATTGTCAACTTTTCCTAAATGAGCCCCAAAAAGTCCAGGAACTCAGGAAGTGAGCCAAGGAACGCTCTCACACAAGTGGCATCTCTTCTCCGAGCCAGTCGATGCGGCATCCGTGGATTCGACACCAATCTGTGCAACATGCAGAAGCCCTAACGCATTCATCCAAACACAGCGGGAATGCCACATATGTTTTGTCGTTTCACATAGGGGCAATCCAACCCCCTGAATTACATCCATGAAATGTCACCTCCTGCACCCCCAAGCATCCCGAAAAATATAGGATATTGCTCCAAAATATGAGTGATGCCCCATTTGGATTACTTTTGTCTTCTGCTGGCTTCTCTTCTTCTTGAAGGTTCACTCTTGCCGAAATGATCCAGTGGATCACATGGTGCATTTTCAGGAGACACATGTTCAGTGTTGCTTCTGAAGAAGGTATAAGTACCTCGGACGAAATATGAAATTACTGAATTTAGATAACTATGGTTCGTACCAAGAAGCCATTCCTCTCTTCCTCTTGTACACTCTCTTTTCGGCATTGCAGTTGATTGCCATTCTTATCACGTTCCACCCATCGCATTGCCGAAAGGATGGCGTCTGCATTCATTCTGTTTGGCGTTTCAATGGTTTCCAGGCGGTCGATTTCGGCTTTGGCGATTGGGTCAAAATCCCGTACCCCTGGTGAACATCCCAATCCCCACTAAAATAGACTAAAACGCTAAAATGGGGTGGCGCGCCTACCAACCAAAATGGGATCCCATTGGTTTTGACCCACCGCCATTTCCGGAAGTCGAATCGATGGCGATTCACTGGCCTCCGGCGATGGATTCAGAGATGGAAAAGACGGCTCGTTGCCAGGCAGTCCTCATGTGGAAAAATCGCCCCGTGATACCACGAGCGGCCATTGTTCGCGACTACTTTCTTACCTTTACCGGGATTCTCTTGGTATCACAAACTGGGCTGCCCTCAGATGCCCCCGCTAAAATTTTGGCTTTTAGTGGGTTAAATGGAAACTATCACTAAACGCTAAAGAGCTACCACCCAGAAAACATGTTGCAAAAGCGTATTTTCCACAATGTCGCAAAGGGAGATCCAAATTGAGCCGAACAGAACTCAACCCCTTTCGCGGAGACCCCAAGAGGCGAACCCGCCAGTGTCAAGGGGTCAACCCAACATTCAAAACAACCAAGAAGAGCGGCGCTGTTGATGAATTTCAGCATTCCTTGGCGGCTCACAGCCGCCTATTGGGGTTGTTGAGCGAAAGGTTGCCATGTCACCCACTCAAGGTTTTGCTTTCAGCAGGGGTATCTGCATTTGAGTTCTGGACTTGGTGGCTTGATGGAAGAGGCCGGTCCTTCTCCCAGCCTAACACGAAAAAAACATGCTTTCCGCTTTCCATGTTCAGGTTGGAAATCCCCATTTCACGGCTCTGTAAGGAATAGTCCATCAAAAAATGCGCGCCGCTCCAAAGGACCTGCTCAAGTTGAAGTGTGAAGAAATGCGCTGCGGTGCTTACGCGATGTGCAAGCACAGGGGTAGCTAATCACTTGGGGAGGTTTCTCTCATGGCCACTGCCCTTCTGAAACCCTCGCCAAGCGCCACAGGAGCAGTGCGCAAATTGCTAAGATACTATCATTCACGCAGCAACATGCCAATAGCTGAGCTGGTTCTGACTAGGGCGATTGCATGGCCAATTCTCTCACGTCGTACTCAAGTTTCAACAGGGGTGCACCCCGATTTCCTAAACCCGGGCACCTGATGTCAACCAAACCCCGAGCTGTGAAATTTGAGCCCTACAAATGGATCGCAACTTCCTCTTGGCTTCCCTTTCAAACCACCCCCAAAAGGGGGTACTGAGGATCAAACAAATACACTCCCATATGCGTCTACCGCTTTGCAGGGCTACACCACCAATACGGCAATCCTCCTGCGACCCTGGTAAGGTAAAGAACCCCTTGTTGGGTTGACCGGTTCAAGGGCTCCTTATATTTCACCTTCAAACATCACCCCCCCACCAAGGGACACTCACGCACCTTTCATGGGCCAAGAAGGTGACGTTTAAAACAACCCAAAAGGGCAATATAGGCGAATATGGGGACGGGTCACGAAGTCCCGAACCCACCAAAGAAGGGATTTGACATGATCTGACACCACGGGGAGCACACAAAGCTAAAATCCCCTCGTGTCAGGTCGGTCTGATAGAATGAAGCCAAACTGGAACTTTCGAACTGGAAAGAGTATCTTTGGTACGTAGTATGATAGTCCAAAAAAGAAGAAAAACAACTTGAACTTCCACCCAACTGGACGATGTTTTCTTCCTCCACTGACCACCTGTCTGCCGATGCTCCGAGCAGAAATCCCACCATGATGGCCCAGACAGGCCAAAGCTGTGCCATAGCCAGACCAATCCTCGGATCTCAAGCGCTGACCCGGTGTGTCAAGCAAACAATCATTGTGTCACACTTCCTGATGACTGAATTTTCCCAGCAAAAACAAACTCTTGATTTACCCCCAAAATGGTCTTCACAAAAAGCTTGAAGTCCAGGAACTCACCCAGTGAGGCATGGTGTGACGTTTGAGGTGGCGGTTGACAAGGAAACTGAGAGGAAATCTAGCGGTGCTTCATGAGACCAAGTTCATCTTGTGGCTAAAACTGGGGAAACTGGAAAGTCAAACTGGTGTGGCGGCATGGCCCCTCGCCAAAGAGCGGAGCGTTAATGTTCCCATTCTCTCCTCCCATGCTCAGAAACCGCCCGTTTCCCTCCTTTTCTGAAAAGAAAGATCCCTGAAACCCCTACTTGCAAAGAGCCCTTTTTGGGGTCGACCAATGGGAAGCCCACCGTAGAGACGAAACGGGTGCCACTGAAAAATTGGCACAATCATTCCCCAGCCCAAGACAAAGACCTTGACCATTCGTGTCGCAAAGCGAGGTCGCTATCATTTGGCGGGAGGTAAGAATGAAAACCAGAACCCACAGATTCAAGTATTATTTTTGGGAAACCCTCCTTTTCGTTTGACTACACGGGAAACCGAAAGCAAACCAATAAGCCGGCCCACAACGATCTGGATCCGTCTCAAAGGGGAATCTCCACCATTTCTTGATTAACGAAAGCGGATAATATACTCCCTCACCCCCACGAACATGGCACCTGTGGGAGCTTCCCTAAACGATAAGTTTCCTCTTCGCGGGACCGGGTCCTCTGACAGCGTCGGAGGGAGGGTATCCCCCCCGGCAAGAACAAACAAACTCCTAGCCTACTGTCACCGCTGAATGATGGAACTTGGCGGGGTCCTTTTGGGACTTGCGCCCACCAAAGCTTCTTGGTCTTTGTTTGCCCGATCGCAGGGTTTGCTACTCCCTCAAGTAGGTTAGGTTGAGCACCATCCCAAGTATACTCCTAGTATCCGACGACTCCATTCTATCTTTGGGGGAACCAACCACAGCAAGATTGACAATCTCACTTCTCCCGTCAACCAAGATAAACCCTTGGCGGAAACGGAACTATGGTACACAACGAGGGCCAATCGATAAGCTCTGAGAGCTGCTCGAAAGAATCAGTTCTTAGCAGTCATTCCTGCATCTTGAAGTCTCAACATCGGAAGCCCTGGTTTTAAGGAGACCACTGTGGACGGACAAATTCCGCATTTCTGAAACCCTATGAATCCCAAGGCCTTGTTGCTTGAGGACTTTCTAGGTTCAAGGCGTTCGTATTTAGGGTCTTGGGCTCCTGGGGAATACTGGGATAAGCCACCTACCAACTGCAGGATTCTGTCAGGAGCAGGTCAGCTGCCCAACTCCCAAGTCAAGCCCCTCCGGGTCGCTAGCAAGAGACCGGGTGCCAAATTGCATTGCAGATCCCAACCCCAGAACCGTCCGAAGCACTCAACGTGTCCAACCCCCCTCAAAGCCAACTAAAGCCGGTCAACAGGGCCGCTTCACCTGTGGCGATCTCCCGTTGTTTTAGATTGTTGTGCAGAAAAACCAAAGAGGACAACCCTGTAAATGTCGCTGATGTTCATATGTCCCTGAATTTGCCAATATGTCCCTTAGCATATCACCAAGAGAAAGATCTCACTCCCATTTGTAGATTCCGAATCCTATGAGACAGCTTGAGCGCGAATCGGTGTGCGGCCATTGGGGCAAGGCTCTCAGACTGGAACTTCAACGGCACGTAGTGGATGAACACGGCCCACATGTACCTTTCAGTGGCCATCTTCTTTGACTTTTGGGTGACCCGTTGTTTTGACTTGTTTGGTTCTTGTTTGGTTCTATGGACAAAAAGGGGTGTTGGGCGCTCACTTTGGCAAGGCTTCTCAATTGACCACTTGTGTTTCAGAACAAAAGCGAGCAGGGACCCAAAAGGGGGCTTAGGGTTTGGTTGTTCTGTTTGGCTTCACCTCAAGGTGAATAGGGTACCAAGCCTCCAAACAAAGACCCACCCATTTGGAAGGGATAAAGAGCGCGGATTTCACGTTGTACTGATGTGCAGGAGACCTTTTGCAGCCTGTCTATGGCTCATCTATGGCTCTGCATCAGCATTCGAGTTAAGATTACGTGTCCCAGCTGGGCTGTCCTCAGATTCCCTGCTAAAAGTTGAACTTGTGGGTCAACTTCGGAAACCCAACCGCTAAACCAACCAAACACCACAAAGAAACCTAAGTTGAACACCGGATGGCTGAGACCAACATTTCGCAGGATTCAAAGCTTCCCTGCAGGATGGTTAGGGGGTCATGGTTTTCGCGATCCTCTACTCTCTAGGGGGAAAACAGGTGTTCATCTGCACGGTCAACGTGCTTGGGGTGCAATTTGAGATGGAAAGCAATAACAACATACGCACGATGCACTGGCCGTGTCTATCCCTTCATTGGTTATTTGGAAGGAAGATCAAAGGCAAACCACACTGTCGGGGATATCTCTACAAGACTTTGGCAACACAACAGCATGTGAGGAATGCTTTTGCGTGACAGAAGTTTGATTATGTTGCAGCAATGCTTGCTGTGGTCTTTCCAAAATAACTACGTTGCCAATGTTGCCAACATGCAACTTCATATACAAACCGTCTGCTACCGACGTATTGCCTTTGTCGACCCTGCCATTTGCAGAAGAAACCCTCCCAGCAATGCTCTCGTTCCGAATTTCCACTGGCGGAAAGCATGCATCATCTTCCTGAGTCGTTCTGGGGGTGTCTGTTTTTGAGGGTACCCCCGCCCCATGTTTTTGTGGTTTGAAAGAAAACACAAAAGGAAAGCCTACCAATTTTAGGGCTTCCCAAACAAACAGACACCCTTCTCTTCACTTTCAGGATTGTTGCCGACTTTCCTTCGACCCTGAAAATCCTCGGGCCGATACACACAGACGCACAGACACATCAACACACACTGCTCGACATACATTCAGGTGTCTCCATGGTTTCCCTTCAAACCGACCACCAAACGGATACCCTCAAACCAAGACCCACCCATATATGGGTCTGTCCTTTCTTTCCAACTATTGAGGATACCCTTGTCCTTCCTTTTTTCTCGGGAACCAAAAGAAAAACCCGTTTCTTGCGCCATTTTGGGAGGGAACCTTTCAAAAACAGAAGCATACCCTCAAACAAAGACCCGTCCCCAAAAAAGAAGGGACCATGTTGACCATCGGAGACGTCCCCGTTCTACCCCCCCCCCCCAACCCCCCCTCGACTCGCGACTCGCGGGGTGTCGGGGCGCAGATCGTTGAGGTGCACCTCCGAGCCCGGGCGGGGCTCTGCGTGCAGCACACGGCTCAGCTGCATCGGCAGCAGCAGCGCCTGACCGAAACTCAGCTTCAGCCAAAACCTGGGCCCCCCGGATTTTCCCAGTGGTTCCCTCCCTTTAAACCACCAAAGAACAAAAAACGCAAATTGAGTCTACCCATTTTGTTCCTTCCCTTTAAAACCACCAAAGAACAAGGTACCCTCCAAAAAGACGCAAAGTGAGTCTACCCAATTTTGTTCCTTCCATTCAAAACCACCAAAGAAGAGGCTTCCATTCTGAATTTGTTCTTAAGTTTTGGTGGAGTGTAGTCGAATTTGGTCAAGCATGTCATTCTGCTCGGAGTGGCCCTGGCCTGCTTTAGTTGAGTCTTTCATCAAAACCGATCGGTACCCTCCCTCCAGCGATCATGCAAAGGCTGACGATTGGAGGGTTGCACAAGACTATGTTTTTTGAGGAAGCCCCATATCCACTTCCACGATTGTTGGAGAGAGCATGCCAAAATGGTCGGGACCCACCATGTAAAGAAACGGCAATTGGCGGATATTCGCGCCCATTTATGGCTCGGATTTTCCTGTAGTACCCTCCAACTACCCGGGTGTTGATTGTGACTCAGTTGCCCACTTTGGACCCGGAAATAAACGGTAATCACCTTTTGGGGCCACTAAAAATGGCTGCCAACATGGGAAAGCCAAAAGGTCAAAAGGTCGGCAAAGAAAGACATACTTCGTCAACCTCAAAGAAAATCCCCCTACAACAAGACGGGGAAAAAGGAGAAAAGGCTATATACTAATCAGCTTACCAGCAGAAAACCTGAAAAATCCTTTCAGTAGTGAAAGGGAAACTGAGAGGACACCTATGTTTGTTGAGGAACCGTGCTGTGAGAAACACCCATATATCAGCTTCCCCCTCATTGGTGATGTGGCGGTTGAGGGTGGTTTCCCATTTGCTCTCTAGAAAAACCAGGGGTTCAAATTCAAATCCAAACCACCAGTCCAAACCACCAACTAAGGGTTAGCTGAACTTAGTCAACCTTGGAGGGAACCCCCCTCCCAAAAAAAAGGAGACAAGGCAGCGACCTATGGGTGTTTGGGAAATAACTTGCTGGGTACATGGAAAACACAAATACTTGTCTGTTCCATAGCAAGGGCCGGAAACAATGGTTTCGAGGAGACCAGCGTGTAGATGGCAGTCCGCAACTTGGTCTTCCTTCGGATCTCTTATCAAAGCTGAAGGCTTTTGGGGCTGCCATTTTTTGGGCATGGTGTGCTGGGTGTCCAAAACCCTGTAACTTTCCTGTGTTTTTGGGGCTTGCGTGCTAAAAATATGCGTTTCGCCTAGGTCTCTAGGGGGGGGGTTCCCCCAATCTGCATCCCCAGCATTATCAGGATTACATTGCTGCTGTGTATTTGTATCTTTTTTGTAGATACTAGTGGTGTTTTGCTGTTTTACAGTAAGCGATGTTGGAATCGGCCTGTTAGGGGTCTGGGTGGGGCCAAGTGCAGTGATACGTTGAGGAACTGTTTGAATTTCCAATAATGAGTGTGTGTTTGTAATTCCCCAACTGTACGGAGCAGTTGCTGCGAAACATCCCCTGCATTCTCGTGCTTTTGGAAGTTTATTCTTAGGGTATTTGAGGGGGGTTGCTAGTATCTGCTTTTGATGGTTGATTTTAGGAAACATCGAAAAACAAACTGGTTTTTTGGACTTTTTTGTGGCCAGCCGGCTGCATTCCCGGCATCTCTGATATTTTCTGTGTTTGGTCAATTTTGCGTGTCTCTGAAAGTCTTGAAATTGTGGCTGCGAAGGTTGGGTCTGTTCCTGTACGTTGTGTGGTTGCATCCCTTGCATTTCCAGCATCCTCAGCATCATTTTTAAATTCCCTTGCACCCCACTGGGCGTAGCGATTCAATATTTGGCTTGAACCTATTCCAAGCTGAAAGCAGGTCGTCGCGCAGGGCCTGGCTGGGAAGCCAGGCCCCCCAGGCGGTAAAAGGGCACTGGGGGACCTAGTTTAAGGAACCAAAGGGATGGCTGGGAGGGGGGTCTGAGAGAACCATTCTGGCGGCGGTCAGGTGGCCAACCCCTGTCCTACATGAGAAATGGTCTGCTTGAAGGTGAACCCCCCTATACTATAAAGCAGTCATGGCTGGGTGTTTCAGGGTTGTCGTAGCTTGGACTGAGGATTCAACAAGACCCCTGGCTGAGTAACAGGGGGGTGCCCCATTTCAACCCTCCCCAAAATCCCCGGAAGCTTTGTTCCATATAGGTCATGTGGGTTCTAGGGCAGCTCAAAACGCTTGTTGAAAGGAGTCTTCCCAAATGATCGGTTTACTGGGCACCAGGTATGACTCTGTCAGTTGGATGCATAGGAAGGCGTTTCCCCCCACAGTGAATCATTCCCTCTCAAAAAAGACTTGCACAATCCCGGAAAAAAGGACTCTTCGAAACTGGGTCCTCCAGTGCAAAGGAGGAAAAAGGGTACCTTTTTTTAGTCTAGCAACCCTCCCCCAAAACAGGGCAAAAGGGCACGACTGGGGACCTACTAAACGCTCACTTGCGGTACATTATTGCACGACTGGGGCCTGACATCTAAGCGAGTTTCTCACGCGTCTCTGTCAATCCCCTGGATGTTCAACCCACGTCAGGTAAGTAAACTGAAACTCTTCTTGGCTGCCCGTTTTCTGATCCCCTGCTAAAAGTGACTAACTTTTAGTGGGTTAAATGCGGAAACTACCACTAAACCAACTAAAAAGCTCAGGGGACGGCTGGAGGCCACCAAGTGTTGATGTGGTTCACCACTTGTTGTTTACCACAAAGGTCGCCTACCTCACGTGGGTGCAAAACTTCCAAGCCCGTTCTCAGTGGTTTGATCCCTTTCTGAAGGTGAAAACATTGGCGGGGTCTTAGAGCCCTCTAAGATCTCCAAATTCTAAAGTTCAAATGTCTACTGGTACCGTGGATGGACCAAATCCTGCAGGTGCTACGTGGTTCATCCCAGGTCCAGATCGGGATTTTCCCACCCACATGGCTGGAAAGGGCGGGAGCAGTGCCCAAAAGCCCATTCACGTTTGGTTCTACGGATACATTGCCCCACTATAATCCTTGATAACCAAGTAGGGTAGTAGCCAACTGGGTATGGATCAAAGCAAAACCACCAGGATATGGACCGCAGATTCTACTGAATTGATTCCATTTCCCAGGGCTTCATTTTGGGGTTACCCTATTTTTCACCCACAGCCAGCTGCTCAAAACTGGGGTCATTATTTTGACTGTTTCTGGGGGTGATCAAAGTCAGAAGATGTGGTTGTTTCCCTTTCACCCGCCACTTAGGGTGACTTTGATCATGGTAAAATGGGCGTGGGTCAAAAAGTGGTACCCCAAATGGAACTCTGGTAAATGTAAAACATGGACGTTTAATTTTGACCCACAGCCACACAATGAGGCCAGCCAGCTGCTCCAATCGGACTCGTTTCGCAGCCACCTGCTCAAGCCCAGGCACCCAACCGATCCAGTGCCGCAGATGCGGCGGCAGCAGCGCGTGCAGAGCCGTGGCCAAGAAGAGCATCGCTGCCTCACGAAGCACATGGCTGCCTCGTTGTGTTTCTTGGGGTCAAACCCTTTTGGTTTGGCTAGGTCCTCCAGTAGAGATGCTAGAGTAAGGGTACCCGAGTTTTTTTGTGTAGTTTATTTTAGTAGGGGAACCCTCCCCCCCAAAAAAAGGGTAAAAGGGCACTACGCGGGGACTAGTTGGTGTCAAAGGAAAACCCACCAAAATTTAGGGGTTCCCCAGAAGTGGGACAAACCCAGAGGTGTCTGTGTTGGGCTAAATGTCTCAATCCCCTGCTAAAAGTGTAACTGTTTGGTGTGCGGTGGGAAACAAACAATAATTTCCCAGAACAATTTAAACCAGAAGATCCAAAAAAGCAGGTAAGCGGGTTTTGAACAGGAGGTCAGGAAAGAATGGACAACTGCCTGCCCCCTTTTGGATTGCTACTCAGCATCCAGCGTCATTCGTAGGATGCCAGTCTGGGCAAACTACTATAATTAGTGGGTCATCAGGGATTCCCATCTTGAACGATGACTCGAATCAGGACGATGACGAGCCGCCCGTGCTCGAAAAGCCCCCACCCATACAAGCCACGGTCAAAGTAGTAAGTCACCTGATTATTGTTGGAAATTTGGTGTGTTACCCAATGTCCCGAACCTGAATGGAGACTACGGGTAACGTTGACCCAAGCTCATATGCTGATTCTGGTTCATATGGGTGATTGAAAAATGATCCAACAAGCAAACACACATCACTTGGGCCTGTCTGTTTTAAGGGTGCCATCTTTGCATGGTTTTAAAAGGGACACCACCCATGTTGGTTCCAAATCCTTTCTGTTTGACAAGCCCGGATGCTATATGGGTGTCTTTTTGAGGGTACCCCTCTTTGGTTGGTCATGAAATCCAGCGTTTGGAGGGGTTCCAACCCAACATTTACTCTCCAAGCAGCGCTCTGAAAAAGCTCAATGGGCAGCCGCTCCGGCTGCGGCAGCTTTCCCTCCAGCATCGACGGGTGCAGCCTCGAGAAATGCTCGGCTCAGGCGGCGAGTTTTCCCCCAATTGGCGTCCGTGCTTTTTCGGGGTTTCCAAGCTCGGGATTCCCTTGCTTGGTCACTTTGGGGACGGTAACCCTTTTGGTGGGCTTAGAGGGAAACCAAAAGGAAAACAAGTTTGGTGGTAAAAAAAAGCAAACCCATACATTTAGCCCTGAAGTACACAAAACCCCTTGAACCTCCGCCTGGAAACTCGCGGAACCCCCAAAACCGCCCAAACCATTTCGGGAAACAACCGTGGCCATGGGTCCTTCCTTGCCTCACGTTTGCCACTCACATGGTCCAAACTCAAACGGCTTGGCCCTTAAGGATGGACTCCCTGACCCCCGCGCTGGGGTTCCTTGCCGATTCCCATAAAACGAATAGCAAAAAACGGGACCCAATTTAGATGATGAAAATCATGGCACCCTATATTAACCCAACCATTGTTTGAATGGTGGTAGCTGAACCCTGTTTACCCAGTTGACAGTGACACTTATCTCCATAGCCCGCACATACCATGATATCGTTGGACCCAGCCCACGCCCCCACCCCTTCTTTTCCCCGCCCCCCCCCCCCCCTGCCCTACCCCCCCCCCTGCTGCCCTACCCTTTTTCCCTGCCCTACCCTTTTTCCCTGCCCTACCCCCCTGCCCTACCCCCCTCAACCCTGGTGCCCCTGATCACTGGTTCGCTCACCCAAACCCTGCCAATTGCACTGCCAGGGAGTGGGTTTTGCAGAAAATGACCTAAACTCCGATTTTCAGAAAGAGCAGCTGAAAGAATGATGGGCGACAAGAACGGACGGCTGGTGCTTGGAACGATGGGTATCTTCACTAAACGTCCTGTCGTTGTCCGTTCAATAATTCAAGCTGAGCATTATCATGAGAGAAACAGTGATATGCTGAACACGGTGATCCGCTTGGTTTCTATGGTGCGTCGACACCTCACAAAACCTCAAAAGCAAAACTCACTTTCTGGATGGATTGGCCCCCAAAAGGTCCGACAATTTGATAGCCTTCTGAAAAGGTTGGTGGACCAAAGGAAATCCAACCGTTGTGTGTCCTGAAGCGATCACCCACTGTCCCTACCAACCCGAGATGAAGGAGTGGTTACACCACCAACCATTTATGTCGCTGTGGCTTCTTTCGAGGGAAATCGTCTGATATCTACATGCGAAGGCGGCCTTTTTGAAAAATAGATGGCCCTGGTAAATGGAACAAAACCCATCTAAACCAGTGCCATCTATGTTCAACCAAACAAAAAAGGACGCCTATGCCTACATGTTTTCACTCATTTCAAGCTCGCGCTCAGTGCGTGATGGTGACATGCGCGGAGATCCTGACTTTATACGCTCGACGCATTTCTGATAACGGCCTGCCTGACCTGTTATGGATGATATCTCGCTCGCGAAGAACTCGTGATATCACCCGCGCCGCCCTGTATGCTGAAGCTTGCTATGCAGTTGGAGCTAAAAAACAAAACACATCCATGACAATGGCAAGCTAGTTCTGGCTGCTGGCGAAGACGCTTGAAGGAAACAACATACCAGGCTTGAGATCTGCGATCCGATTCGGGCATTGCGGTGACATCCAACAACTTCCACAAGTATAAACCGTCAGCGTCAGTAGCTAAGGGAGAGCCCCTGTCACTTGACCCCCACTTGACCGTGCGTCACATGCCGAGCAGCATAAACAACGCCATGAGAAGTGCGAACGAGCTGTACAGGGCCAGCGGCATCGTAGCATTTCCCGCGGAACAGTCCTGACGTTGAGGGACTGAGGTGGCATTTGCGCTCTGCACTTCTGACGCCGTACGAGATATCTGTGGTTGGAGTTTGTGCGAGTTTGCCCCATAGCCTGAGCTTCCCCATGTTGTCCTGTCACCTGCAAACTTTGGGAAAACGAGGCGGCACTGAATTATCTGAATGGAGCAAGGGAACGCAACTGTTAAACCTCGGGGTCTTTAAAACCTTCAGAATCCTCTTTTTTGCCAAGACAAAATACATATTTCACATCTGAAATCATGAGACCCCCCCTCCCTGACGAAAGGACACTTCACCGGTCACAACCCCACCCACCCACCCAAATAAGTGGAATCGCTTTCCAACTAGTTGTGATCCACAGCCGGACGCAAAGCGTACTGGAGCATGTGTTGAACTAAAGTCTCCAGTGGCCATGTGGAAAAAGGGCTGCCCATTTTGGTAGTTGACTTGCAAGGGCAGCCCCCGCCAACAAAAATGAATAGACGTCCATCCACCAAAAAGCAACGCAGGAATGGCACCAGAGGTCTTGGTTAGTATGAATATGTTTCATCGTCTAACTATTTACTCACGTTGGTTTCCTTAGCTGCCCCTTAAGGGACCCAGGAAAAAAACGGTGATCACCTTTTGGGGCCACTAGACACGGACCAAGCTTGGGAAATACAAAGGTCATTTAAGGCTCAGTTGCCAGAACGTGGAACTAAAAGGTGAACCTTTTGGGGCCATGACTAAATATGGACCAACTCATTTCAGGTCGATTCGCTTGAACCACTGAGGTCGATTCGCTTTGGGCGCGTGAGTCATTATATTTGGTCGATTTGCTTTGGGCGAGTGTTCCCTGTTGGTTTCCTCCTGTTGGTTTCCTGCTGTTTTCCTCCTGTGGGTTTCCTGCTGTTGGTTTCCTCCCGTCGATTAACTTCAGGCTTTTGTATACCTCCTGGTTCCAGATCGAGGCTCTTTTTCGCGGGAGCAGACAAGGAGATCCGGAGTTGAACTCAGGCGTGGGGTCATCAAAAAGGGATCTCCGCAGAGCTGTGGAAACCAGCCCAGAAGGGATCACCTCCAATAGACATGCTCCAAACAGCTCATGTTCCCAGAAAAATAAGGCAATGGAAATAAAGGGGACTGGTTGAAACCAACATGGGACACCTTGACGACACGAGGCCCACTTTGGAGGATACCGACCAAAAAGGTCACTGGGCATGCCCGTCTCTCCCCCAAAATCGGATCGGCTCCTGGTTTTCCTTCAGCTCCCCGGCACTTAGAAGGCACCTCCCACAGTCGGAATCCGAGTCAACACCCGAGGCCCGATTTTTTTCCCGTAGTCTATTTTGGTAGGGGAACCCTTCCCCAAAAAAGAAGCGGTAGAAGGGCACCTAGCTGGGGGATCTAGAAGAAGTTGAAGTCCAAAGATCCAACCAAATAGCCATGAAGGTCCTATCGCCAGAAGACCAGGTACTAGATCTACCAGGTAACGGGGCACGAGGGGGCACTAGGGCGCTCAAGTGACATAGCCAGTGATTCCATTGACCAGTGTATAGGTAACCAAGCGAGCCATCCACGAACACGGGACGCAGAACATGGCCCCGTGCAACTTCCCCTTGGTGCAGGAACATGGACCCCGTTTAATTCTAGGGGTTTTGACAAAGATCTGGCGAAGAGCTGGGTCCCCGGATGTGACCCCGTCCAAAAGGCTTGCGGTGATCGGACCTTTGAGCCATGTTCGGCTTGCGGTGACCTTTTTCGGGTGGTCGAAATGAAAGATTTGTGCTTCTTGAGCAAGTAGTTGTCCTTACCATGGCCGACCGTAAGCGCAACTCGACTCTCTCTGCCAGCAAATGATGCAATTTGGCCACACTCAAGCTTGTGGACTGAACTACAACCAGTTGGTGGCTGTTGAGTTTGGGCAATTTGCAGCCAAACGCCCTCCGGGAGCCAGGTGGAGATCATTTGCAAAAAAACTCGACAAAGCCAGGTTCACCCCCCGCCCCCCCCCCCCCCCCGAAATTTCATTTACAAAGGGGTGGCAATACACAAACCCTGGAGCTCAGTTACCACCATTAAAACACTGGTTGGGTCAATATAACCACCATAGTTTACCTATAGCTCAAGGATTCTCATCATCCAAATTGGGTCTAATGGGGGTTGAACCCAGGGATGGACACAAATGGGCGGACTGATTCTCCGTAGGGTTGCGGGGTTTGTTCAGTGATAGTCCGAGCACAACCATCAGTTTTTGAGCACTCGCCGGGGGAAATGGACCCTGGCTGTGGGATCCTTTTGTGCACTCCCTGGACAGGAGCACATTGGGAGATGTCCCGCTTCATGCCCCTTTCTTTTCACCTTGGTTCGAAGGGAAACCAGCATCAAACCCGCCTATTTTGACACATCGCATCTTGGAGAAAGGCAAAGAGGATATAAAGAATCTGGGTCGATGATCCGTTCCCTGGTAGCTCCCTTCAGGTACAGGACGCAAACCATTGGTTTTCAAGGAAAACAGCATTTCCAAAGACGCAGCAACGATGCTTGCTTGACCCCCTGTGTTTGGTTCTAGAGAGGTTAACCCCAAACAGGGACAGGTACATGGTTGATAGCCCCCTCTACCAAATCCAGCCAGCCGAGAAGGCTCTATTCTAGGTCCTCCAGATTTGAGAGGTTAGAAGAAGGGTGCCACCTTTTTTCGGTAGTCTATTTTAGTAGGGGAACCCTCCCAACCAAAAAAGAAACGGTAAAAGGGCACCTAGTTGGGGGACCTAGAGGCTCCATTTGTGCTCCGACTCCACCCATTGTTGGCCAACAAAAACCGAAGAACTGCCGATGTCTTCATCTTTCTTCGGCCCACGTGGCTTCAAGGGAAATAAGAAGATGGCCGCGACCATGATCTGCAGAGCAAAGCCCATCTGGTACCTCGGTGTAATCCAAACCTGGTAAAAGGATCTAACCAAGCCAATTGGTCTGAAAAAAAGCAAAAGCGCTTGCGTCCGCACCTGGGCTGCCCTCAGATCCCCCCGCTAGAAGTGACTAACTTTTGGTTTACGGAAACTCAACCACTAAACACCAAAAGGCAAAACATGCTAAGGAACCAAAGGGATGGCTGGGAGCCACCAAGTAGCTTCTGCCCGAAACTATCCCATGTCTGATGGCAATCACCCGTGACCCGAAGCCCAGGTGTCCATGTCTCGAGTGGGGAGGTCGAAACTTTCGGTCTATTTCACGAAAATGGCCCAACCCCCCCCAAAAGTGACTAACTAGGTCCTCCAATAGAGAGGTTGGAATAAGGGTACCAACTGTTTTCTGTAGTCTATTTTAGTAGGGGAACCCTGAAGGGCACTGCTGGGGGACCTAGCTAGAGTCCAGGGACTCAGGAAGTGAGATGTTGGGGACACCCCATGGTTGCTAGCACGTCAACCGAGGCTAAGCTTAGTACCTGCTCCAAAGTGACGCAGACATCAAACATTCACGGGGTTTCAGAGTGTGCTGAACAACTGACTTCGCAGCGGCTTAGCCCCGAAAGCGTCACAGCTTGATGTAGCGGACTTCCTCAAAAGCTGGCACGACGCCAGTGAATTTTTCGGGAAGGATCCCAAAAGATGTTTCGAAAGGGCATCCTCTAAATCAGTCCCTCTGCAAAAATCGAGCAATGACAACTGGCTGTTGCTTTCTTTCCATAATTCTTGTATATTGAACATGCAAAATCAGGTCTTATGCACTGTCTCACTCCAACATGCTGCCAAAAGTTCAGGACTTGCCGCTGCAAATCCAGATAGGATTTCAGCTCGAAGCCCTTAATAACTCACTCAGACTGGAAGCACTGCTGGAAAGCCGACATTGGCCAAGACTCCTCGCACGGCTTCCCTCAAACTGCCAAAGACAAACGCTGTTGGGCGATGCTGTCGCCTTGTGGCTTCGGATCGAAAGTTGGACTTCAGCATACGTCATCAAGTTATGGTTCACCCAGCATACGTCATACGTCCACGTCTGGACTCTCTTGGCCCGACATGCAAAGACTGACGAATTGGACACGTGTTCTGCCGAGGTTTTTTTCAACTTTGTGCCAATTGCCCACTGCGACACCAGTGGAAAAGATGTTCCAATGCAGACTGTTCAAATGGATAAGTCTCTGTTCAAAGGGAAGATGCCCTACCACAAAAGTGCCCCAGTTTTCCATCTCCCCACGGCATGGATACTGATCTGCTGCCAAGCTTCATGAGACCTGGGCGTAGCGGAATGCAATGGTTCCCAACAAAAGCTCTCGGATTTGAAACACTGATGGATCCAATCCAGCATCGGTTGATAGGTGGCTTATCCGCAGGTCAGGATTTTGTCCACTTACACAAGTCTTGGCCCATTGCTTCAGTCGCCCCCTACAACCCAAATCATGCACCCGTGCACTGAAACCTCTCTGTGATCCTAGGCTTAGTCAAATTTGTGTTCAAAGAGGGGACTGCCATTTGGGGTGTTTTCTTTCTGGTTTCTCTTTGAACCGACCACAAAAGATTTTGTTAAACAAAAAAGGAAAAACAATAAAACAAAAAAACAAGAAAACAGAGGGAAGAACAAAAAAGAGCGAATCCCGCATCTTCCAAACATAGAGCATTCAAGAGTGCCTGGTCGCATCCCGACCTTCCGGTGGAAAAGATTCGTGAACCAATCCAGCAAATCTACAAACCTTGGCACACGCTCTCCGTGTACGCAATCTAGATGTCTCCTGCTCAACTTTGGTGCATGCTCTTAGGATCCGTGAAGAACCCCATAGTAGATAGCAGTAAGGTGCCAGTTGAAAAACCCACACGACTCATGAGCCACTGGCAACATATACTCTGTGACCAAAAAGGCACGGGACAATTTGGGCTCGACCGTGATTTGGAAAAATCAGGGAGTGCGCCATGTTGCATATGGATCATCATACACTACTGCTATTGACCGAACCCCTCCTCATAATACCATGACATCCTCAAAACGACACAATTCGTGATTTAATTCAGAAAACAACCCTAAAGTACTGTTGAGAACCCTCAGAATGTTCACATTAAACCCCCAATGGACCCCCAACCCCCCCGTCCACACCCCTCCAAACGTCGCTTTCCTTCGAGGCTCGTGTCGCATCGGCTTTCCAGTCCGCTCCAATGGCCACGAGCGCCATCCTTGCGCATGGCCGAGACGGGACGACCAAAAATCGTGGGAAAACCTGGGGTTCAGCCAGGCCAGCAGAAAACAAAAAATGGTGGTGTTAAATTTAACCAGAGAAAAAAAAGACAATGGTGGGGTTAAAAAACAACCATGATTTGACTGAGGATTTGGTTGGGTGAGTTTTTTTTTCACCAGTCACCATGAAAACAACAGGTACCCCTGGGGTTCAGTTCCCAGCGTTAAATCAATGGTTGGGTTAGCATAACCACCGTGAACTACCCAGAACACAGCGGCGGGGTGGAAACACCACCATGATTTAACTAAGGATTTCTGGTTGTGTCTTTTTTGTTTTAGCTGTGCATGATTTAAGTAGGTCCTCCAGTAGATAGGTTAGAATAAGGGTACCTACTTTTTTCTGTAGTCTATTTTAGTAGGGGGACCCTCCCTCAAAAAAGGGTAAAAGGGCACTAATTACTGGGGGACCTAGTTAACTAAGGATTTGGTTGGATGAATATTTCACCCCCATGATTTACCTGGACCCTTCAGGATTTCCATCATCCAAATTGGGCCCCCTTGGGCCATTCTTTTAATAGGGGCTGAACACCAGGGTCGGGGGCTCTTGTTTTTTACAGGTTGGACACGCCAAATAGAGCTAAGACCGCCCAAAAGACCTGGGTACTCTCTGGTCACAAGCATGGAGCCCAAAACAATAACTACTAGTTTCCATCGCAGTAGATGAACCAAAAGCCATAAACCATAAACCATAAACCCAAAACCATGAACCAAAAACCATGAAGTCGTCTCACCCATCAACGGGTTCGCTTTCCGCACCCTTTGCGTGTTGGCGAGGACGCGGGACACCCCCCTCCCGAGAAAAAAAAAGAAAAAGCACCGCCAGGTGTCTGGTCGGGTTGAAGTTCAAAACACACTCGATGATTGTGCCCCAAAGGGGACCTTGTCATGGTCCTCGCAAAAAGCGAGCGGGCATGCCAAGGACACCTGAACGAAGACTTTGCAGGAAGCTTTAAAAACACAATACATCCTAACGACGACAATCGCGACAGAGGGGGGGGGCGCCTGTGGAGTCCCTCCAGTCCGAACCATGAATGGATTTCCAGCAGTCACCCCACTCCCCCCCGTCCCATGTGTTTGGGAGGGGGGGAGAGGGATCTGCGTTCCACGCGCTTAAAGCAAATATATGGCCGAGGCACTGAAGATTCGGAAAGGGACACCCCCTTCACGTTTCATGGGCCCAAAGAAAGGCACCCCTTTTAGCAGTTAGAATATGTACTAGTTAGAGTCTAAAGCGACTCTCGAAACAGGAACAACAGGGTCCCCCCTCGGAAAAAAGAGAGACTTGATTGTATTGGATACTCCCACGGAGTTTGCCTTGAACTTTTAGTTGGCTCAAACTCGGAAAGAAGAAAAAAACACTCCACCCACCTAAAAAAGCTCCAAACCGCGAAGTTGAACCGAACCAACCGGACGGCTTTTTTTTCGGCGCCGCTTCTTTCCGCCCCCCCCGGTCGGCGCTTCTTGCGAGTGGCCAGTTCAGCAAGGTACCGGCGGCCCAGATCATGGCCAAGCGCCGGCCTGCAGACAGGCTGCTTCGGTGGGGAGAAAACCAAAAGCTTGGGGTTCTTTAAAACATCACCGCCATGCTTTACCCAAAAAAAAATCCGCGAAAACAAAGGTTGGGTGTTTTTGTTTTACAGAACCGCCATGCTTTTTGCCCTTCAGGATTTACGTCTATGTGTTGGCACCATATGATGTTTTCCCTTCAGGAAATTCGTCATCCAAATTGCTTGGGCCAGTCTTTCCATGGGCGGTTGAAGCCTGGGGTGAAGAGCTGGGAAGTGATGAGACCCGAGTTCGCAAAACCCGAGGTAGGCAAAGCTCCTGGACAAAATGGAGAAAACAACGGGATATGATGAATCCCCTCTTTGAGCAACCAAATCGTGGAAGAGCATTGTTTCATGGATTAATGGAAAGACTGGGTGTAGGCCAAAAGATTGGAACACAACTGCAAAGAATGCAAGGAAACACTGGGGCGGCCCCTCAAACCAACCCAGGAAAGATTCAGGTTTGCAACATTCTTAAGCGTTCTGGCATGGAGGGGTGTCCTTGGAGACAAATGCTAACCCTGGATCCAAGTAGGACCCCCTGTTGATTTTGATCGGGGGCGTTCCCTTTTAACAGGAATCCTTCACTTTAGTAGGTGACACCCCCTGATTCGTAGGATGGGTTTACATTATGTTCCTTGCATGATACGCGGCGCTAGGGTGCAGCCTGGGCAACCTGAGCCATTTTCCTATGCCCACCACGATTGTGCGCTGAGACACGAAGCAACACGAACCACCCCCACTCAAGGGCCTAGAGGGTCCAAGTACCCTGTGAGGATGGCTTTTGGGCGGTAAAAAGGGTCTAAGTGCCTCATTTGAAGGTACCAAGGGACCCTCTGGGAAACACCAACCGTTTCAACACAAACCAAAATAGTCTACACCCCCAAACACGGGGAGCAATAGGATCCTGGTTGCTGCAACGACCCCCCTGCAAAAAGTGTTCACTTCTTCGGGAGGTTCGTGGAAAACCCGACTTGATTTCAACCAAAAAGTTAAACTCTCAAGATCCAACCCAGTAGAGAGGCAACTCCCTTGTGGTTCTTCCCAGGGCCTCCTGCGTGGCGGGGGTCATTGAGATGCTTTTGCCTCAGGGGTGTACCCATGTAGAGTTCTTTAAACAAAGTCAAAAGATGAAGTGCCAGCCGTTTTTGATTCACCGCGAGATTTGCGCCGCTTCCCTCGCCGAGGCGCAGTAAAACAGCAGAGACTTCTCCGACCTCGCGAAGCAAAACCCGGAGATCAGCATCAGGAACTGCAGCACCTTGGAACACCATACATCTAGGGGTTGATTCCTTGTCCATTCTTTTCGGCCATCGTTATGTTCGAAAACCGATCGCCATTCCCCCAAGGTTTTTAAGGTGGTTTTCTAGAAAGAAGGATCCCTGGAAAGAATGGGGAAGTTACCCCTAGAATTCAGGGAAACTCACTTGGCCATGGATCAAAATCCAAATCGTACCCCCCAGTGAAAATCCCAATCCCCACAAACATAAAGCCTAAAATGGAGGTGCACCTACCAACCAAGATGGTACCATTGGTTTTACCCCACAACCATTTGAAATTGGAGGGAAAGAAACGGAACCCTGGAAACCCCTTTTGAGAGTGGAATGAAGAAGATTCAAAGCGACACCGCCCAGTGTTTGTGCGTGCGTTTTTGAGTTGCTTTAACTGGGGAACCCCTCTTTTGGGGTGGTGCACAGGAAATTCAAAGCAAACCCTCCCATTTTGGGGGGCGGGGCAGTCTTTTGGAGAGGACTAATTTTGGGGGTTGGGTGAACAAACTCAAAGTAGTCTCTGCGGGTGTTTTTTGAGGGGGACCCCCTTTTGGAGTTGGGGGGGGGCCCTCATTCACTGACACAAGTGCTTGAAACCTGGTTGGACTGGGGCCGCCTGAGGTTGGTCGTCAATCCCACAATCCCTCCGATTTGAAGTTTACAACCCCCTCCCTTTGGCTAGGTTCTCCAGTGGAGAGGTTAGAATAAGGGTACCCCTTTTTTCTGTAGTCTATTTTAGTAGGTGAACCCTCCCAGATAAAAGGGTAACAGGGCACTACTGGGGGACCTAGTTGGGGTTTCTAAGCAAATCTCGGCCAAGTAGAAACATGGACGTGACCCTCCCGGACCAAAATGCCACGAATGCCACGGATCAGCTTGGGGTGATATAATCATGGAGCCTGGGGAGAGAGGGAAGGGGAGGGGGAGCCCAAGTGAGCCCTTAACCCCCCTGCCCCTCCCTCCCTCCTCAGGGGGAACTTTGCAAACAAACTAAGTCAAGATCATAGTGCTCTATGTCATAGGGATCGAAGCATGTTAGTGGTTTTTAGCCCTGAGTACTATCCCATGCAGTCATTCTGGCAGTCGTTTGCAATCTTTAGTTCAGTCGCCCTGGTTCCTGGGATATGGATAGCAACACCCTGAAAGCTTCATGGCAAATATGTTCATCACGCAGCGACGGACTTTGAATCCACCAGTCCACGTCGCCACCCTGGCTTCATGGACCCTCTAAACTGGGGGACTAAAACCTATCAAACGATTTCAAGGCCTGATAGAGTCCCCCTTTAGAGGTCGGGTGGGATGGCAGGATCAGTTTCCCTGACAGTCACCCTCTGTTCCCCGGAAAGGCGTTGGCATTGGGCTTTGTGGGAACATCAACCAATGCGATGTTGTCTAACGGAAAATGACCGGGTCATCTGTGTTGTTCCGGCAATGCCCATTTCACCCTCTTGCACGCCCTTTCCAATCCAAAACAGGATGCCCTGGGAGTCACTTTTCTTGGCAAACTGAAACAAAACACCACGGTAGCCAGATTCCAGACAGCTTGACATGTACCAACAAAACGCACTCCTGCAGTGTCCTGCTCTCTTCCAATCGAATCTACACAGCATGGCCTTGGAAGAACTGCTTTAATTCGGCCCTGCACTTCCCCGGCCACGTTGTTTTACCCAAGTCACCATCCCTAATATCTAAACCGATCTTACGAGGCCTGCCCTCAAAAAGACAAGCACAAACTCGCACACCCACTTGCAAGAATCCAATTTGCACTTCTCCAAACACGTTGCCAGTCGCCACAACTTGGGCCGTGGTCCAAATCTTCCTCTGGGAGCGGGGTCCAACCGATGCTAACTTTGACCAACCCGCTAGCAAGCTGGACATCCCCAAAGCCATTTCCAATGAACCCAGATTCCTATAAAGGAAGCCACCAGTTGGATGGTTTATAGGGGTCATTCCCTCATTCCCTGCTGAGCACCAGCAAGCTAGGGCTGTGACAAACTGATGCGAGGTTGTTTCGGGTGAACCCCAAAGAAGCCCTCAATTTGGGGGGCCAGAGGAAAAAACCACCTGCCAAAACGCTCACCCTCACCCTTCACTGGTTGATCGGGAACATGTCCAAAAACCCAAAGGCAAAGAAAAATATATCCCCCCTCCTGCAAATTAATCGCATAGAACTCCAGTCAGCCCAAGTTTAGAGGAAAAATATGTGGGTTCCTTTTTTGGAATTCCATGTAAACATCTGCCGGCTGCCGGGGGCAACCCGTGCCTTCGAGTGTCTTGGTTCGGGTTCCGAGTTCCGAGTGCCGCGCCCACTGGCCCACCGCGAAGAAGTTCAGCTGATGATAGCCTGAAAGCAACGTTTTGGGGGTAGGGGGGCAGGGGGAGTTGGGGGGAGGGCGTGTGCGGGGATGGGAGTGGGGGAAGGTGGGGGGAGTTGGGGAGAGTTGGGGAGAAGGGAAGTTTGGGGGGGAGTTGGGGGGAGTTTGGGGGAAGTTGGGGGGGGGAGTTGGGGGAGGGTGGCGTCGTGAGTTGGCAGAGTTTGTCAACTAGACAATTTTGCGGCACCAAGACACGAAAGAATACCTGGAAGGTGGTTGCAAAATAGACTTGAAGTATCCACCACAGGGGTATGGCAGAGTTGCCCAGTGACCTTGCATCTTGCCCAGTTTGCAGTTGCCACTGCAAGACCCCATCTAGCTTCACAAACAACAACTTCTCCAAGCGAGTTTCATGGCCCATTAGATTGCTCAGTTGGGCATGCATCAAATGAGCGAGAAGCAAAACCGAAGACTACTTTGGGCGCTTTCGAGCAGGAAGATCTATATGTATATATCCGCCGACATTGCTCGGCGTGTCGGATACTTACTAGAGGATAGAGGATAACCCCCCCCCTAACCCCCCCCCGCCCGACGTCTATTACGTAGGTTTTTGGGGGGGGGGGGGTCCCCCACGTACCGCGCGGCAATTTGATGACGTTCCACTAAACGTAGTCTTCGGGGAGCCGGTGTCGCAAAACAGGGGTCCCAGGCTCGATTCCCCCTGCCGGCTTTTTTGCTGGCTTGGGCTTCCTGCATCCTTTTGCCGAAAATCTGGAAAAACTCAATGTTTTTGGACGTCCTCTTTGCGAAAACGCTGGAAAAACCGTGTTTTTTTTGCGGGAAATACTGGGGAAATACATACATACATACATACATACATACATACATACATACATACATACATTACAGTACATTACATTACATTACATACATACATACATTACATGACATTACATGACATTTACATACATACATACATTACATACATACATACATGCACATACATACATACATTACATACATACATACATACATTACATGCATTACATACATACATTACATACATTACTTACTTACTTACATACTTACTTACTTACTTACTTACTTACTACATACTACACATACATGCATACATACATACATACATGCATACATACATACATACATACATACATACATACATACATACATACATACATACATACATACATACATACATACATACATACATACATACATACATACATACATACATACATACATACATACATACATACATACATACATACATACATACATACATACATACATACATACATACATACATACATACATACATACATACATACATACATACATACATACATACATACATACATACATACATACATACATACATACATACATACATACATACATACATACATACATACATACATACATACATACATACATACATACATACATACATACATACATACATACATACATACATACATACATACATTACATACATACATACATACATACATACATACATACATACATACATACATACATACATACATACATACATACATACATACATACATACATACATTACACATACATACATACATACATACATACATACATACATACATACATACATACATACATACATACATACATACATACATACATACATACATACATACATACATACATACATACATACATACATTACATACATACATACATACATACATACATACATACATACATACATACATACATACATTACATTACATTACATACATACATACATACATTACATACATACATACATACATACATACATACATACATACATACATACATACATACATACATACATACATACATACATACATACATACATACATACATACATACATACATACATACATACATACATACATACATACATACATACATACATACATACATACATACATACATACATACATACATACATACATACATACATACATACATACATACATACATACATACATACATACATACATACATACATACATACATACATACATACATACATACATACATACATACATACATACATACATACATACATACATACATACATACATACATACATACATACATACATACATACATACATACATACATACATACATACATACATACATACATACATACATACATACATACATACATACATACATACATACATACATACATACATACATACATACATACATACATACATACATACATACATACATACATACATACATACATACATACATACATACATACATACATACATACATACATACATACATACATACATACATACATACATACATACATACATACATACATACATACATACATACATACATACATACATACATACATACATACATACATACATACATACATACATACATACATACATACATACATACATACATACATACATACATACATACATACATACATACATACATACATACATACATACATACATACATACATACATACATACATACATACATACATACATACATTACATACATACATACATACATACATACATACATACATACATACATACATACATACATACATACATACATACATACATACATACATACATACATACATACATACATACATACATACATACATACATACATACATACATACATACATACATACATACATACATACATACATACATACATACATACATACATACATACATACATACATACATACATACATACATACATACATACATACATACATACATACATACATACATACATACATACATACATACATACATACATACATACATACATACATACATACATACATACATACATACATACATACATACATACATACATACATACATACATACATACATACATACATACATACATACATACATACATACATACATACATACATACATACATACATACATACATACATACATACATACATACATACATACATACATACATACATACATACATACATACATACATACATACATACATACATACATACATACATACATACATACATACATACATACATACATACATACATACATACATACATACATACATACATACATACATACATACATACATACATACATACATACATACATACATACATACATACATACATACATACATACATACATACATACATACATACATACATACATACATACATACATACATACATACATACATTACATACATACATACATACATACATACATACATACATACATACATACATACATACATACATACATACATACATACATACATACATACATACATACATACATACATACATACATACATACATACATACATACATACATACATACATACATACATACATACATACATACATACATACATACATACATACATACATACATACATACATACATACATACATACATACATACATACATACATACATACATACATACATACATACATACATACATACATACATACATACATACATACATACATACATACATACATACATACATACATTACATACATACATACATACATACATACATACATACATACATACATACATACATACATACATACATACATACATACATACATACATACATACATACATACATACATACATACATACATACATACATACATACATACATACATACATACATACATACATACATTACATACACATACATACATACATACATACATACATACATACATACATACATACATACATACATACATACATACATACATACATACATACATACATTACATACATACATACATACATACATACATACATACATACATACATACATACATACATACATACATACATACATACATACATACATACATACATACATACATACATACATACATACATACATACATACATACATACATACATACATACATACATACATACATACATACATACATACATACATACATACATACATACATACATACATACATACATACATACATACATACATACATACATACATACATACATACATACATACATACATACATACATACATACATACATACATACATACATACATACATACATTACATTACATTACATACATACATACATACATACATTACATACATACATACATACATACATACATACATACATACATACATACATACATTACATACATACATACATACATACATACATACATACATACATACATACATACATACATACATACATACATACATACATACATACATACATACATACATACATACATACATACATACATACATACATACATACATACATACATACATACATACATACATACATACATACATACATACATACATACATACATACATACATACATGTACATGCATGCATACATACGAGAGAGGGAGAGTGGGGAGAGAGAGGCTTGGGGGGATGGGGAGGATGGGAGCAGAGGGAGGGAGAGAGGACGACAGAACACACAAGGGAGACAAGGAAGAGAGGAAGAAGGAGAAAAGGGAGAGGACAATGTCGGCGGACTGAGCCGGAGGCTCTAAAGTATATATTGTTTTTGGGGTTTCACTATATTGTTCTCCAATGTTTCAGACATCGCCATGCAAGTTATCGTTTTTGGGTTTCGCTGTGTCGTTCTTGAGAAAAAAGCTAAGCACGCACCGCGAAATGACCGAAGACGTATCTCTGGATGAGAGAGTTTTGCCTTCTCTTTCTCTCAAATGGATCAGAAAAGGAGCAACATGAGCGAAAGTGAGAGTTTGGCAGTCCCTAGATGAAACACACATTGCGAACACTGCATTGCAAACAGGATTACTTGCAGAACATGCATGCACGTTCTCATGCATTCTTGAGCTCTTGAATGGTTGCTCCGCATGAGAGCGCGTTCAGGAAACAAATAGCGCAGCTCACGAGTTGGTAAACACCTGCCCTCCATTGTGGAGAAGCTGATACCCAGTCTTCCCTCTGTGTGTGGTGTGTTGAGACCGTCATTCTTGCCCAATGTAGCCAGGTCACTGGGGGCCCTCCAAACAATTCAAATACACGTTACTACTGTGTCTCATCTAGGCAATTTACAATAAATCTTACCTCGTCACCTCGTTGTTAAATAAGGTTTTGGAGTGTGCGCCTCGCCTCGTTAAATCCGTGGTCACCTCGTCACCTCGTCACCTCGTTAAATCCCTCGTCACATCGTAACTTTGTAGTACAAGTCTAGCACGCGGATAGTTGCCTGAAGTGCCGAAAAACTTCTCAGGCTCCGAAAAGTTTATTTTGCGCCTTTGGCAGCCCCGAGCCTTCCAACACCAATGACACGTTCCAGTACACTTCCACAGCTCCAGCTCGAAAAGCTCAATTTTGTAGCACAAACCTTGTGTCAAAGGCTTTGCTGAGGGGTTGCCGGAAACAATGAGACTAGGGGTGCTCTGGGAAGGCTACGGGAAGGCTACGGGAAGGCTACGGGAAGGCTACGGGAAGACTATGAGAAAAAAACACTTTGCAGGGCCCAAAAAGTTATTTTCCCCAACAATCACCTCTGACCGTATAAAATAACTTTTTAGGCCCTGAAAAGCTTTTTCCTGCTGTGGGACCCTCTCCCGCTGCATCTACGTGTGCACCTCGTTGTTCTGAATTTAGTTAAATCACCTCGCTTAAAATATTTGCTCCACCTCGCACCTCGGCTGACCTCGCTCTAAATTGCCTAGGTATCATTGTTGTCACTGTCGCAAAGCAACTCTTGCTGAACAGTATTCGCCGTTGTTATTCAAGGCTTAAATACTACTTGGCTCGCTTTCTTTCTTGGCTGTCTGCCTTTGTCTTAGCTTGCTTGTTCTGGTCGTGTCACGCCTTGTTGTATCAGTGAGATTGATGTTTGATTGCTTGGTTGGTTGCCTGTGTTGGTGCGCTCCGGTTCTTTGTTTGCTTGATCACTCGTGTCTTCGGCTTGTTTGGTTGATTGGTGGATCGAATGCTTGCCTCCTTGCTTCCTTGCCTGCTTGCTTGCTTGCTCGCTTGCTTGCTTCCTTCCTTCCTTGCTTCCTTGCTTCCTTGCTTCTCGTGCGTCCTCTCGTGCCGCCCAACATGACTCTCAGCCGCCGGGCCTTCATAGACGTGGGTAATCACCACACAGGCAACGCAAATCACACGCCATAGATCGAAGTAGCGGATCCTAGGCCAACGAATCTGGCACTTTCGCGCTAGGCGACATATCAGCTTCCCCTAGTCGTGTAGTTTTGGAGCCCGGTGATTGGACGTTGGAGCCTACCTTCCCCATTTGGTTTCAACAGCAACTGGCAAACCACCAATCCAAGGTACCAATTAAAGAGTAGCTGAACGTACTGTGGATGGTTGCGAAATCCAATTTTCGCGCCAGGGTTCAGAAACCCAACGGAATCGACTTCGATTCCCGAACGTAAATGCCCACGAACAATATGTTCAAACATGAGTTCTAAGTGGTGCAGGATTTCGTCCATCCACAGTAGGTCTGAAAAAAACAATCATATCATTCCTAATTATTTCGGACTTGCTTTCAGGAAATGAATGATGTGCTATTAGCAGCCAGCAAAAACGATGGTGTCGCAACCTCCGGGGTTTCTGGTTGCCCGTGGGGCAGGGTTTGCCTGTTCCTCCGCAGTACGTTCCGCGAACGCTTTGCAGCTACTCCATCCACAAGGTGAAGTGGTGAATCCATCTGGGAACTCGCAGCCGCTTTAAGAAACTCCGCGTGGACAACCATTGGACAGCAGGTGCACAAAAGCTGAACACTAACAAGTCACGGACAGGCAAATGAACCTCTCAACCAAGGCCAGAAAACATCTACCAGAACCCTGTTGGCCTCCAAGGTTACCAAGTTATTGTTTTGCCTTCCGACCCATGTTTTCAAGGTCCAGCTAGACTCACCACAAGTAATCTATTCCTGCTCTGACCAGATTTAAACATAGCCAAGAAAACCGTACCAAGATCGCAATTTCACCACACTCCGCAGGTCAAACACATGTCTCTTGCGCAGTCTCGGCTCGAATGAGGCAAACCCGCCGACTGCCACATGCACTCAGACATTTTCTTTGGACCCCTTTGGAGAGATGAAGGTTTTTTGTTCTGGAAGTTTGGAACCCCTCAAAGAGGTATCTGCATTTCCAACTTAATCGGGGTCAAAAGGCGACTTCGTCAACGCTTTGATTCTAAACCCACGCTTGCTTTTTGCTCTACCATCATTTGACTAAACAGGTACCAAACAAAGGATTGGAGAACAAGTTGGAAGAGCCTCTGGATGTTTCAAGGGAAACCCACAAAAACCAAGCAGGCAAAGGAGTTCCCTAAATTTTGGACACCATCTCCACTTCCTTAAGCATTGAACTTCTTGGGACACGAACAGGCTTTTGGTGCACAGGCAAGCCCCAAATATGGACCCAGGTACTACTCCCCTGCAAATCAGCATGTGCCCCCAAACACCCTTCTCGGAGAGCTTGTTTTTGGGGACACCCCTTTTCTGGGCTGTCCGTTTTCTGATCTGCTAAAAGTTTAACTTGTGGTTTAAATTCGGAAACCCAACTAAACCAACTAAACGCAACTAAAACCCCAAGGAACCGGACGGCTGAACCCCCCGAACCGTGTGAGGGTGAACCCATTTTCCATACGCCGAGAGTCTGCTCTGCCTTGGAGGCCTGACAGGGCAAAGTGCCCCAAGGCGGCTGCACTCGTTTCTGGTTGGGACTATCCTGTACTAACCTTCAACCCGGATGTTGATTCCCAGTGGGACCCTCTGATTTTTGCCAGTTTCCGGACTCCATCTTCAAATCCTTCTAGAGGAAACGAGAGGTGAGCTCGAGGGCGCCTAGCCAGACCATTTTCGGAAACCAACCGATCCAGAGGTCGGTTCGCGGGCAAATGAACTGGTGATAATACAGGCGAGCGCAAAAGATCCATCGATGCGGCCATGCCACCACCAAGGATGTTGCTAGGCCAGACACCAAAGTACGTAGCCTTCTGGAAACATGAGGGGGGCAAACATGCTGCGCATGGACAACTGTTCACACCAGTTGGTGGCTTATCAAACTATTCATACTGTGGATGGACGAAATCCATGTCGCACCACTTCAGTCACCCTATTTTCTGATGATTCCCACGCAAATACCCAATCAACGTTATGGTGTCTCATGGCTGCCCCTGCTTCCCCATTGATGCGAACGGATTTCGGCCATTCAGAGTAGGGTCCAAGGGCCAACCCAAAATGCCAAAGCGCGAGCCGGGTGCGCGGCCGAATCCATGTGGCTGTCATCCCAATTTGCAACTCTTGGCATGGTAGCAAAAAAAACGACGTTTTTTGCTACGCTCCTACTACAAATGAACAGAATTCCAAAAACAAGGAAAAACAAGCAACTTGCCAAGAGCAGTGAAGGATTAAACGAAACATGAGGCCTATTGAGTACACCGCCGCTCAGTCATCCCGCCCTTCATGCACATCCAAAGACCCTTTATTTGGGCGAAATGTAAAGAAGCAACGTCGTCTGCCATAGTTGTGGCGCAAAAGGGTGCTTCTTGAATTGGGGAAGCCCGCAATGGCTTCTTGCTCTTTTGGTTGCCCCTTGAAGCCACTCCGAAAGGAGTAAGCGCACACGCACACACACAGACATATTCCAAATGTCTGCCGGTTGCCCACCAGAAAGAAGTTTGAACCAACTCCATATCAAAATAGGCGTCTGCCATTGCACGGAGGGATCATGGAAACCAGCTTGGGTGCTGTAGATCCCCCAGCAAGTTCGCTTTTAGCCGGCTACGTAACGAACCATTGCGATGCGAGAAGCAACAAGTTAAACTTTTTGCTGGTTAAAAGGAAATATGAGGGGAATCCAAAAAGTTAAAGTCTAAAGATCCAACCCAATAGCAGTAGAGCCAGGGGGATCCTTACATTATACATCTGAACATTGCCTTGTCAATGGTGGTTTCCCTGCGGGAAAAAGCAATGTTTCAAATGGGCAAAATGTATCTTTTAAGGAGCCCTGTGTAAGGGCATTAGATTCCCCAGAAAGTCGAGCAAAAATCAGAATCTGGCATGGCGCGCCTTTTGGCGTTCTCCGAACACCCCTTGGTGAAAGGACCAAGGCACCGTGCTTGCGAGCACACCATTGGGGCCGAGAAAGCCGCGCCAACTGCCCGTTGCTCACATGGGGATTCTAGTCAGCGGAAATGTGAGGTAGCGAGACATCTAGTGCCAACCATGGTGAGAATGTGGTGGGTGAGTTACAACCAAACTAAGAAATAAACATGAAAGCAGAAGAGCACATCGCGCGGAATTACTTGGCCATCATAGAATCATGTTGCATAGATGCGTCCATCGGCCGGAACAGCCGCTAACCAGTGTGTGTTTGCTCACGCAAGCCTTTGATAGACCTCCCTCTGACGCTCGAGAGACATATGCTCTTCTAATTCGGCAAATTCACATGGCAACCCAAAAGGGATCCATGAACAATATTTAAGGGGGATCCAAGGATTGGCTGTGTGCACAGGCCAACATGGCCAGTAAAACCTGATCAATTGCCAAGAGGAGACAAATGGACTGGTGTGCTGGATCTGTCCCAGTGGCTAACAATCTAAGGAACCCACATGCTACAACTGCAACTTGTGAGTTACATCCGGACTTCCCCCGTTGCGCTGTCCGAAATCCAAAAGTGAAAGCCCAGGGGTCAGGGAGTTCGCTCAAAAAAGCCGGGCCTGCTGCTTGTCTTTCAGCGTGAGCAGCCTGATCAAGTGGTGCTGATGACTCTAAAACCTGGGGCCCCTACCGGCTTGGCGGCTCCCCCACATCCATTTGATCGAGTCTTCCCAGTGAAAAATGAACAGGAACGTCCAAGGGCTTGCCCCTTTTCCACTTCCATTTTGCAGAGGATCTGTTCCAACGTTAAACAGTTGTGAAATGGTGATTTTGACCGTCAGACCTGCCTCACCAATTGGCAGCTGGCTTGTCCCAGTTACTTATCCCAGCTTGTGCAGGATGTTCTGCGAGTGAATTCTGAAGGTAGCTGACCTGCGTTTCAAGTGGAACCAAAAGGAATGCCAACAGGTGCATTCCCTATTTTCACACGTACGAATTAGGGTAATCAGGGCAAGCTCACGGTGAGCTCACATAAGCCCCAATCAGTGAGCTCGCCATACGATTGGACAACATCCTGCACCAAATGGAGGATGGATGAAGCCCCAAATGAAACAAACCAACCACCACCCAACTGATCCATCCACACTCGCCGTCATGTTCGCCTAAATGGAACAAACCAACCAACTGATCCATCCAGGTGCCAATCGGTTCGTCGATTTTTGGGGCCCCTCGCTCGAAGAGACAGCAAGACACCAAACACAGCACCGCGCTGGCCACCACGACCTGACGAGCGATCGAGGTGCCTAGTAGGCCTGGTTCCAACTTCTGAGACAGAAAAACCATGGCTTTTTGTGGGTTATAGCCAGGCCTACCCACGTACTAAGTACCCAATCGGCGGGTTTAAGCGGTGGTGTTCCAACTTCAGACTTCAAACCATGGCTTTTGTGGCACTTATAACCAAGCTTGCTAAACACTTACTAAGCATACCCGATCCCCCCCTTTGAGCAGTGGTGGATCAATCTTTGTGCGTGGGCGTGTGGAGTTTGTTAAAACAGGTTGGGGATCCTTTTGAGGTTGCTTTGAATGTACATCTGGGAGAAACCAAAGAACATGAGACTAAGGGTGTTTCCCCCTTTGATTGAAACTTCGAAGGAAACCAAAAGGAACCCGCATTTCGGGGGAACCCTTGTCTTGAGAAGTGCCCGTGCATGCTTCTTTGCATGTGTGTGGGTGTTTGAGGGTAGTCTTTCAATTTGGTTTCAAGGGAAAAGTTCTCATCTAGTTTCAACATGTGAGTCATGGTCATGGCTATTTTTGGAATCTGTATCAATGGTTGTCAACAATTCACAGCTGGCTATCGGCTATCCTTTCATCTAACCATCTACAAGAGCGCCTCTTTGAATTTAGGGAGTATGCGGTTGATGTTTTGTTTCCAGAAAGAACATAGTGAGGTACCCTCCTGCTTACATGAAACTTGACTGAGGGGTCCTGATTTAAATGGACATATTTTCTTAAAAAGGGACCCTCTGGTGGGTTCCGTATTTGTGGACAGGAGAGTATGATATTTCACTCCAACGGACCCCCTAAGAAAGAAACCTGCGTGGGGAAGTGAGGTCGCCATGAAATGCGTCCCCTTTAACGGAAGTTCCATGGCGCCCAAAACCACCCTTTGGTTGCACTTGCGATTGCTTACGCTGTCACACCGATGCCCAAAACAACCACGATCTGTACATTGCAGGCTGGTCCTTGTGCCCTTGTGCTCCTTTGGGACCCGAGGCTGCTGGGTTCCCAAGGTCTGCAATGGAAATTTGGGGAGTAATCTTCTGATGAAGAAACAAGCTTCGGCATCAACCACGGAAAGCTGTTTTGGAATCCAAGAATGAGCAAACCAGCGAACTCATATTCGGCCCTTCTGCAACGCGCAATGTGATATAAAGGCTGAATCTATGCCCTTCAAACATAGGGCAGGAGAGGATCTTGAGGTTGTTGGAGAAACCCAACCAGTTCTCACTTAACCCCCAGCCCAGGATCTGTGTCCTGTTTGCCGCCTGGTTGGAACAAGGCGAGTTATCGCTGGCAAATTGGCGAGTTAGTCCAACGAACCCCCAGCCGACGACTTTGGTTGAGACCCATGGATGATCAAGGGACATTCTGATGACGAGGATGAAAACCATGAAAACGACGACAACGATGGTAGCGGGGATGATGACGATGATAATGATGAAGATGATGACGATAAAGAGGATGGTGATGGTGATTCCGGTGACAATGACGACGGTGGTGATGATGACAACAATGACGATAATGGTGCTGGTGATGATGATAATGATGATAACGACGATGACGATGACGATGACGATGACGATGATGATGATGATGATGATGATGATGATGATGATGATGATGATGATGATAAAGATGATGATGACGCTAGTGACGACAATGACGACCATGGTGATGGTGACGATGGTGACGATGGTGACGATGGTGACGATGGTGACGATATCGATGACGATGATGATAACAACAACATTGACGATGATGGTGCTGATGATGATGATGATGAAGATGATGATGATGATTACGATGACGAGAATGATCACCAGGACGACGACGACAACGATGACGATGATGATGATGATGGTGGTGGTGATGATGATGATGATGATGATGCACACTTGGCAAATGGTGATAGACGAGCTCCCTACAATTGTCTAGAAAGTGCTATGGCACTGCCTGAGATTCAGGATCCAGCAAAGTACGTGTGTTTGCCTGCGGTGTGTTTGTTGTAATCTGCGAAGCACCATTTGAGGGATTCCCAAAATACAGAACCGACTTGATTGCGGGGTTGCTTTGGGGCGTGGGAACTCCAACTGCATCTCCCGATTTCAAACCATATCCCAATCTGGATGCATATATTATGTCGTCATTGGCTTTGCCGATGAAGGCTGGGGGGGGGGGCGACGGGACAATCTGAGAGCAACTGTGTCAACCAGCAAAACCAGTGGGACCTTTTCAAATAGATGATCTCTCAGCACACTAATGGTCTTCCCTTTCTGGGGAGGGTCCAAAAGCTATCTTGATAGACTGCATTGCACTTCATACGCTTTCGCGGGCCAGTGTCTCTTCCTGAAGAGGAACCATTCCGATGGTCCAAAAATCATACGAGTCATAATCATAACTTGGTACTAGAATGGTCTACCCGGAAAAATGCAAAGACTTGAACGGCACGAATTTCTGGTTGGGATTTTCCCTTCCCAACCTGTATCTACCCGGGTTTTGATCGTGGCTCATATTGACAGCTGACGGTAATCTCACACCTCGCGCCATGTCTATGGATTGATCACCAGAGATCACCGTAATTATCACGGGGGCTGCAATTTTGGCGCTGTTTCATTTCTGTCTTCCATTTGCTTCAAAGTGCCAGGCACAAACTTGACTGGAATCCGACGACAGTGATTGTTCATTGTGTTCTGTTTTGTTTTTCTTCTTCCTAAAGTATTTCAAAACGAGGAAAAACCTGGTTTTGTGTGTTTGCTTACATAAACACTTATAAGCACAATTCATGCGAAGTCAGCATGGGTTGACCACAGCCGATGGCACATAGCAGCCACTATATTTGGGGGGTGCTCATTGAGGTGCTCAAGGTCGCCTCACACGCAAGTTGCAAACAGGGTACCCTCCAAAGATCTGAACTCCTGGATGCCATAAAATAATCACGAAAGCTGATCCTTGTTTTTTCTAATCAACACGTCTGCTGCTTGTTTGATTCAAGCAAGAACAAGCACTCACCAAATAACAACAAACGAACACATACTTCCCCGGCGACCATGGCTCCATGAGATGGACATGATTTACTCTGATTCACATGGAGGCCATAAAGACGGGCGCCTTCTAAAACTCGCTTCCATGGCAAAGTTGGGCTCCATGACAAAGTGCAGTGTAACTAGGTCCTCCAGTACAGAGATTAGAATAAGGGTACCAACTTTTTTCTGTAGTCTAATTTAGTAGGGTGACCCTCCCCCAAAGAAGGGTAAAAGGGCACTACTGGGGGACCTAGGTTGGAGTTGGGCGCCACGATTGCCCCATTCGTCCCCCTTCGAGGGAACGCCATCCGCCGGAACGCACCAAACGCGCCTCGCCCTGGCCGTTCAATAAATTGCCTCAGGCGACGCCAATCGCACTGACTCGCAGTATGGCCGGGGGGGGGGGGGGGGAATGAGGTACTGCCAAGCCCCAAATGGGAAAACCTGACCCTTTCTCTAATCTTGGTTGCTGCAACGACCCCTCTGCAAGAAGTTGAACACTCTTTGTGGGTTCAATGGAAAACCCTAAAGGTCGCCCAAAAGTTGAAGTCTAAAGAGCCAACCTAATAGCCATCAAGTAACGCCACGCAGTTGCTTTCCATGGGAACTGCACTGAATGAAACGGGGTGTCCTGTGCATCACAGAAAGTGGCCCTAAAAATCCGAGTTCATCCTGGGGATAGTTGCGAAATCCTTTCGCACCACCTCAGAAACCGTGGTTTATCAAAATTTCCCTGTAAATTCCAACAAACAATGGCTTCAGCCATGGTTGCAAAGTGGTGCAGGATTTCGTGCGTCCACAGTATGTCACATGCCCCAAATGCTGTCAACTCGAAGGCTGAAGCCTAACAGATGGAATGGGATGATGGTTCGTAACGCGGGTATTCATCAGTATTCGCAAGACGACAACGAAACGATCATGTGCGCGTCAAAGACACCACGAAAATAAGGCATTGCGCAAGACTAATTGTCATCTTCGGTAAGTAGGTGGATTTTTAGGAAGCTCCACCACTTGGAGTTCTTACCAGGGCTCGTCATTCTTGGCAGCAAACCGCTCAATCTGGAAGACGCTTGTATGAACAGAACGCATGTGCACAGCAGGTTAATGAATCTTCCGAGCCACAAGGAATCCAAATACATTGCGCACACTGGAGCCTTTTAAGAGAGCGCACGCTTGGCTTGCAGCTAGGCCTGTCCAAGACTCAGCTTTCATTTGCTTAAATCCACAGGAAACAGGCAGTAGTGACAGATTCCCTAAAAAAAACCAACCGGGGAGACATAACATAACATAGTCTTAAGCAAGTGGAAGTCAGGTGAATTTGGCATGCCAGACTCAGCATGAAACTGCCAGGCCTCGAATTTCCCAACCCGGACAGGCCACAAGCGCTACGAGGTCGCTCCAAGTCTTGCACGTGTCTCCAAAAAAGGGGACCACGGCGGCCGTGACCCTAACGGGAGTATGGCTATAGGTTCATGGGGTGATTCCCAGCTTCCAAGGGCAGTTTTCAATTTCCCGTAGGTGGGGAGGTGCTTAAAGGGAAAATATGTGGAGCCCGATGCAATGACTAAGCCTGTGGCTGGTGTGTCACAAACGAACCCAATTTGATCTTTCATCTCGGGCTCCCGTCGCTCCAGGTCGTTGAGTGTGTCCTGGGTGTCCTCCCGCAGCTTCCTCATCAATTCCTGAGATCTGGACTCCTTTTCCAAGCATCCTTCGCATAGGTGTCCTTTTAGAGGAAATAGATGGCCTTGGTAGATGATTAAATCACCAGCTGAGGGCCATCTATGTTTCTACCAAAACAACTAAAAAGGACACCTATGATCCTTCGGCTGCACCCCCTTCAGAAAGTCAACTTGTTGCTTCACATATCACCGCAAGCGACAATGAGATTAGATCAAGCTATGAGGCGGGCGAGGAAAGCGAGACACGACCCCAAGAACCAGAAAATCAAAAGACAACGCTTGAAAAAGGGGCGCGCCAACACGTGCGCCGAAACACAAGGTGGTGGAAACCGCAAAAGGGGAAGGACGCGGATTCTGCGAGCCCCTCCGAAACCTTGGCAAAACAAGGCTTAAGTGGGCCAGCCAAGCGTTGCGCTAAAAGTTCAGGCGAGTTTCAAGGCACATTTCCACGGCAATCCCTTGATAGCTGACTGCACACTCCAGTCAAGGTAGTGGATCAAACTAGCCCCGATCGTCCGGAATAGGCAGCTGTCGTGAAAAGGAGTCGACATCTGCATAGCAAAGGCGAGGCCACATAGAACGAACCATGCCGGATCAAAGGCGACCCAGGAAATCTGAAGTTCAAAAGGATCACATACAGAATCCGGAAAGCGAACGGCCGCAGCAGACATGGCAACGGGGACATTCCCAGAAGATAGAAGATGGGCTCAGTGTCTTGCAAAAAATGGTGGAACGCGCGATGCTTGGATAACGCCGACTGCTCTCGCAAATCCATCTCCCAAAAGACACTAAATTGAAACTTGATCAAAAGGATGCTTAAGAACACAACCCAGACTGTGCCCACTGAACACGCAACATTGGGACCAACTTCCCCCCCCCCCCCCAAACAGTCCATTCGCTCACAAGTCTGAGCAACCCTGACCCAAAGGGAAATGAACTGCAAAGGCGGGCAAGCCAAGAAAAATGAAGTAGCTCATGAGATACTGGATGCGGGCATGATCTGATTGGGAAGAGAGTGGCCAAAAAAGCTTGGTCTCAGTCCAAGAATGAGCAAGCTAAGAATGGGATCCCCAAACGAAGGACCTACATGGCCATGGGTCAAAATCCCGTACCCCCAGTGAACATCCCAATCCCCACTAAAGTAGGTTCTAAAATGGGTGGTGCACCTACCAACCAAAATGGAATCCCAACACGGTTTTGACAACGAAAGCCACATGGCCTTCGCTCCTTCTCAGGGATCGCCCTGAGCCTCGAGCCCGTGCAATGCCATCCGCCCCAGACCCACTCGGACACGGCAGATGCCCCAGGCCACTCGTATCGAATGTGACAAAGTATTTGGCTTCACAAGCGAGAGAAACTCCGAGGTTGCCAACAAAACGAGCGCATATTTCGAGGGGAACCTAAACCACCTGCCACACCTGCCCCATATTTCTCGAGGGGAACTTCCCGGCATTGGTGTTGTTAACCAGGTCACGGACATCATCCTACAGGGACCTATCGGGCATCCACCGCTATGTAGTAGTTCGCCAAGCAACGTGAGCCAATCGGCTGCACATGACGGTGTGTTGAAGAAGCTGGACCTATCTGGGATACATAGTATACCATATCATAAATCCCAACCTTCTTGCAGAACAGGGGTGGGGCACGTCCGAAAATGTTGTTTGCATTTGCCAGTGTCTGACGCCGGGGCTTCACTGTTTAAATACCAATGAACGTTCTGATGTCACATGGTTTCTCAGGTGGTGCGAACGGATTTCGCTTTTTGATGGTCTGATTGGTGCTTTCTGCGGGTCTGAACAACATGTAACTTAGAACTGCCCTGGTTCATCAGCACCCCCTCCCCGAAAACACGGATAACAAACCGGTTTTTGTGGGTTCCAGTTCATTTGATCTGATGGCAACCATGTAAATGACAATTCCTGAGGTCCCCCTCCATTTTAGATGATTCACCAGGGGACCTTCACCAACGAGCTCGCGGTACCCTGAGGTGCGCTCTTCATGCTCGCAGATTTGAAGAACCCATAAGTCACACAAACGTCTCGCAAAAGGGGACCTCACCGGCGCTACATAGCAATAAACCAAGAGCACAAAGAGGTAGCGACCCCGGATCTACCAACATCCCAATCATTAGGGAGTGGGGAGACCTGAAGTATGAAGTGGTGCCAGTAAAAGGAGCACCCCTAACCAGGGGTTTATTAATCAGGGGCTAACACTAAATTCAACGTGGTGGAAGTGATTCTGAAACACCGCATCAACTGGTAGGAAATGGAACCCAAGGGGCCTGGAACAGGGGTTCTGGGTTTTGCGCCCTGTCAGTGTGACAAATGTCTGCCCAATCTCCGCCTCTCTGTGCATTTCTCTCTGCGCTTCTTGAAAACTCCGTCCCGGCGCTCTGGAGCTGTAGGGACAAATCAAATACGGCTGCCAAACCGAGGGAACAACCGCAAAATCCAACGGGAACGACAGGCAACATTCAGAGGAACATCAAACGTGTATGCTAGAATATGTTGAGTTGAGTGTGTGTGCTTGTGTTCTTGGAATATGTGAATGCATGTTTATTGATCACGTTTCATGACAGACAGGGTCCGGCCAGCCACAGCGCAAATCTGATCAGTGTGCAAAACAACTCCTTCCATAGGCCATCTCCCACAAAGCGTCCATTTTCACGAACACTGCACGCGCATCCTTCTGGAGAGTGCGCGTCTTGCGCGGCTCCCGGTGACACAGAAATAGCGGAGTATATAGCTCCGTACAAGAGGGGGTCCAAATGCAGTTAGTTGGGTGGTGCTTGCTTTTGTTTTAGGCCCGGTACCCTGTGCGCGGATGGCCGGAGCAATTATCTGCCAGTAGGCCAAAGTGGTTGAACTCACAGCTAATTCAAATACGGAACTAGAAGGGCTGGTTGAGCCCGGCTAAAACCACGAAATCCAGCAAAACAAGGATTTATGAAAAGATACCATGCATCTCACATCAATGTCCGCGTTTTCGCACGATGCTCACTGCTATCTGAATCGGGGAATCGCGTATTGACTCCACTGGCCCGAGCCGACCCGAAGCAAAGGTGCAACCTGCATCATGGACCAAGCAGTCACGCAAGTCGCACTACATATTTCTCATCCAAAAGGGTCATTTGAGTAACAGACATAGGCGACCCGAAAGAGCAGAGCAAACCCTGTTCTTCCACTTGTGGCGTCCTTTGATTAGGGGGAGTGCAGCAAAACCCGCATTTGCCGATTATTGCCCAGTACATCCGTTCGAGAGATTGTCAGCCATTCCTGGTCGCCAGTCCATCTAAAACACCGACGGTCAGGCAGGGTGTGGTGTAGTCGGTGACAATATGCGTCCTTGATGCAACTACTAGGTTCTCCAGTTGAGAGGTTAAAATAATGGTACCCGATTTTTTCTGTAGTCTATTTTAGTAGGGGAACCTTCCCAACCAAAAAAGGGTAAAAGAGCACTACTGGGGGACCTAGACTAACTTGCACGTGTCAATGCTTTTACCCAAATCGGCTGCGTGTGCTCAAGCATTGTGTGATTCTTTGTTGGGAACACTGAGTTGTTTCGGGGTCCCAAAAACGATTGGTTGTCCTTTTGGCTTATCTTTAGATGCCAACCGTACAGGGGTCCACCATTCCAACAAGAACAGGCATATGTGATGACATGGCAGTCTGTTTCTATTGGCCGCCAGGGAGTGATTGAGCTAGATTTCCTAATAGACATATTTATAGGGTCTTGGGCTCCCAGGGATGAACATCATGCCAGGATTGGACCCCCTGGTCATGCAAGGCATGCCTTGATGCCAAGGAAGCGGTCACTGCCAGACGCATGCCGGCCTGGCCGCACGTGGCATGCAGGCGCCTGACGCGGACCTAACGCGGCAATGGGGCAAGTCCATGTCCAAAAGGCTGCAGGATTCCTAAAACGAGCATCTCCGATCTCCACAGGCTTCGCCACTAGGTCCAGTGGAGAGGTTAGAATAAGTTGGTACCCGATGCTTTTTCTGTAATTAGTCTATTATTTGTAGGGGAACCCTCCCCCAAAAAAGTTGGTAATAGGACTGGGGGAGCTTCGCCATAACTTGGGGAACCGACTGGCACGTTTTTTTGTCCCCCCCCCCGTTGTTTGCTACATGTATGGTCCCGTGTCGCATGCTCCCGCCCTCCGACCCCATGGTTTGTTCCCTTCAGGGGGGACCCCCCTGAAAATTGGGGGGCTCCCGAAACCACTGCGCCACCAGCACCCCGGCAGCTGAGCAATCCCACCCTGAACCAACCCCAACCCAACCCTGAATCCATTTTAGTTGGAGCAGAAAGAACCCTCGACCCACGCATACAAAGCCGAATCAACCCTAAGCCAGCCCTAATCCAACCCTAAACCCCCAAACCAACCCAAAACCCGTCCTAAACCAACCATGCACCACAACCCGACCACAGAACCACAGGACCACAAGTATCTCGTTGGCACCTGGAAAGCCTCCTGCGAAGGCTTCCGTTTTGCTTTGCTGTAGGGGGCCTTGTCAAAAATAGGCACCCTTTTTGGACCTTGTGCCGCAAAGGGGATGCCAAAAAGGGCCCCTACTTTTAACATACCTTCACATGGGTATGTCTTTTTCAAGGTTGGAGCCCCCAAAATGGCGCAACGGTTTTCTTGTGGTTTCCCTTCTAAACAGGCCAACAAGGGGTACCTAAGAAAAAGACAGACCCCCTATATGTTCGATTTTGCCGAACGGTAAAATTCCAGCAAGCATGGCAATTGGAGGGTACCTGGAAGATCATAATTTTGTCTTGAAGTGGCCTGTTTGTCCCTTAAAAGGGGGCTATGACAACCAACTTTGATGATGAACATCCTGAACAGTAAATAATGTTGGATTTGCAATTCAAGCATTGTTTTGATAGTGGCTTGAACCCCAGCGAAAAGGAGGTTGTAGATCCCCGATGGCCAAAACAGCGGACGAGAGCCTCGAAACGCTCATCGCCTTACGCCACACCTCAGCTGGCAACGGCAGGGAAAGCGTCACGGGCCAAAACGGCCCCAAACCACAACGGAACAAGGATGACTGAACTCAAACTTTGCAGCTCAATCGTAAACAAGTAAGCTGCACTTAACTCCGACTTGCTTCCTGTAAATACGATACTCGCAGACTGCAGTTTGAGGGCGCCTACTGAACGGCAGATCGGTTCCGTTTAGCAAACCAAAGAGGGCAAGAATGAGAGGACTTTAAGAACAAGTATCAAGGGAAACTGGCTGCAGCGTTTTGGTGCTTACGAACTAAGTGGGGCAGTAAAAAGGGACAGGGGCCCAAACAAAAAGACCTCTTGCCCTGCCCACACCTTTCAGCTGATGAGAGCGTTGGCTTGGGAGCTAGGCCCTTTGAATACGGAAACTTTGGAGTGAATGCCAGGTGTTGGGGACTGACAGCAGGATATCTCTTATTGGAACAACATACATGTTCTCATTGTCAGCCTGTGACATTTATAGATGCTTCAGCCGTGTTTTGCATGCAGCCAAGATGGCGTATATCGGATCAGATCGGTGCAGATTTCAACTACGTAGCTTGAAACAGTGAGTAGTGTATGCATGAGGCAAAGCGATGAGAGAAAGAGTGCTACTGTTCTATGCCGGAAGTTGTTGTTGTATGAAGGGAGCTGTGTTTCACTAAAAGCTCCATCTCCTCGATGTTTATGTTTTTTCATTTGTCTTGCCGGTAGTTGCTCTCTGCCACGCAGGACACCTGCGTTGCCCCGTGTTGTTAGAGGTGACTTGGGATCGGGTTCGGATTCTCATCTTATTGCGACCGGGTTCAAGACAACTTTCTCCAAGCTACGTGAACCTGAGCTGTCCAAATTGGTCAAACCCTAAAAGTGAATAACTTTTAGTGGGTTAAATGGAAACCCAACCACTGAACCCTAAAAATCTAAACACCTAAGGAACCGCGCGGCTGAGAACCGCCGAGGAAATTGCGGCCGCACACACACACACACAAACTTTCTTTCAGGCTGGCTTGATCTCCCGGACAAGATTGGCATAGTTGCAACAGGAATCCAACACTAGGCGTACTTTGCCACGTTGACAAAGGACAGCCCCGGAAACCACTCAGCCCTTTTGAAAGGATTCCAGAACCTGAAGTAGGGATGGCTGTGGGGCGTCTGGAAAACCATGTGGAGAATCTACTTCACAGACATCAGGGAAACTCCCGCTGTCAGCATTGGTGGCTTGGATTATGGTTTATTAGCAGGGGGTTGTTTCCCAACTTGCCACCGGTTAAAATTCCTCAAACTACCAACCAAAAGTCCAAGCTTCGCATTTACCACAATCCAA